ATGGTGTTGGTTGGTGTGAATGTCTTTTTTTAATCCTGATTAAGTGCTGAATTTAATTTTGTGTTTTTTCAGAATATTAGGTATGGTCAATAAATACTCAACACGGCTTAAAAATAGAAAGTGGCATTTTTGCCAATGAAACAACTAACACTGTAAGGTGGTATTGGTGGGGATCAATCTGTAGTTTTCGGTATTTTGTTTTATGAAACGTTTATCTGTCTCTCTTTTTCTTTTTGCCATGTTATATTTTTTTTACTAATGATTTCTGATTGCCCCCATGCTATCTTCCCTTTTTAAACTTTATAATATTAAAGTTCTATCCTTTCCAAGCCTGTATGTGTATAATAAACAAGAAAAGAACCCAGCTATATTAGATAATTTCAAAGTAGAACTGTATTTCATCTTTTCGAAGTGGAAACGTAATGATTAATTACCACCTTATGTCTGAAGAAATCCAGGTGTAATCAATAAATTACATAACTAACTGGAGAAATATTCCTACAAATTAAGTCATTAGATTTTTATCAAAGGTATGTCATAAAGTAACACGACAACTTCAAAATTGAGGTCCATAAAAGCCTTAATCACTCATCAGGCAAAATGTCAATATTTACATAATGTACTGTAACTTTTTCAAATTAAAAAGTATTTTCTCTGAAACAAATTACTCATTTTCAAATATATACAGCTTTTAATCTTATGTCTTAGAAATCCAAGAGTAATTAATATTTTACGTTTCAAACTGGTTAAACCTTCCTTCAAAATCCATCAATCATTTTCCAGCAACGACACCATAACAACATAAAACATAGGACACCATGCCCTGCTAAAATAACAATTCTGGAAAATCTGGATCAACGCTCTCATTTGTTGTATATATTGTAAAAAGTTCACATCAGAATTAACATGATTACTAAGTTTCTAGTTGATATGACCACAACTTCAGGGTAAACTACGTGTAACCAAAACCAACAGAAGGACAAACGGACTTACAGAACAAAGCACTCCAAGATCGACGGACTTACAGAACAAAGCACTCCAACATCGAAAAACAAAACATCAATCACTATTGTAGATTGGGCATAAAAGCACATCATACTGAACTGTGTAAACAGATGGATACATGCCAGGCTGAACATGACAACGTAATCCAAACAGATTGAGGTTATATGTTATATTTACGTCGCAAATCACACAAAGTTGGCAAAAGAAATAAAAGACATGCACCTATTATGAATTTTACATTTACAGACAAAATATATTGAAAAAAGAATGAATAGTAGGGTGAATGTACAAATAAATTACTGTCGGATAGAAATCAGATAAATGAAAGTTAAGTAGCAGAAAAATAACCAAGTGGACTATGACAACAGGAAAACTCATTTGTATATTTATTTACAAAGACAATTACAAAATATAATTAAAATATAGTCACAGTTTAACAAACAATTACAGTGAAATATGAAACAATAACTGCTTAGTACTAAATTAATTAAAATAAAAAGTTGTTGCACATGAGTTTGTCAGATGGAGAATATGATCATTATCTTCCACAGCTAAAATTATCTAAGTCTACAACCTCGAAATATTTCCCTTCTTTGCTCTTCCATTTCGTATATCTAATATGCTACTTTATACTTCCGTTTTTCTCTGTCAATATAATTTAATCCAAACTTATCATAAAGATAATTAAATACACATATGAGGGCGTTAGCCCGATTTAGTGTATCTAATTTACACCAAGATAATATTGCCAAAGCAAAATGATAATTTTCAATAATTTAGGAGGGATTGGGGTGGTGTCTTTTAGCAATTTGACCATATGTTATTGAAAAGCATGATAAATGCATGATATCCAATTTCTTTTAACGACATCTTGGTGTAAATATGAAAACAGAATGAGATATATTCCCTGTTTTTCTAATATACAATTATCTCTCATCAGCAGCAGTGAAATTATAATCTCTTACCGACCAGTATCTAGTCCGTATGAATTTTAATTATACAAGTCCCTTTCTCTAGGGGCAATCAGTGTGACCTGACCTAAATAATAATAGTATTATAGCAGTTTTCATTAAACATATAAGTTTTCAAAGAGATTATTTGAAGATAAAGAGGATATCAACTTGAAATGGACTTGTAGCACATCTAAGAGTGTAGGTGTCCTTGTGTTTCCCAATAACATGTTATAATGTACTTATATGTACAAATAGAAATGTCAGTGAAAGGTGAATGTGTTAGATATATTATTATATATCATATATCATCATTTTATAAATAATACAGTTTCTCTCACAAGTGTTTTATTAGATATATGATTAAATGATTGAACGTGTTGAATGAACTAAAACGAGGTCACTATGTTGACAGTAACTGATCAAACATGTAAAAACTGGTATCGTTAGCGATCAGAAATTTGGAATAATGGAAAATAAAAATTAAATATATCAGTTTTTCGTATTTTTTCCCTTCTTTATATCTTTATATTCCATATCTTGTATTTTCCCAAATACGTTCCGAGTGAGTTTTACTTTTTCATCGTGCACACATTTAACAAGATTAAATGCACATCATCATCCGGTAGTCAATAGCTCAGATTTAGCTAAACGTTACCACGTACAGTATCCCTGTTGCTAGTATAGTTATATAGGTATATGATATTCTTATTGGTTTATATACATTGTTGTTCATTTCTGTGTCATTTGGTCTCTTGTAGAGAGTTGTCTTATTGGCCATTATTCCACATCTTCTTATTTTTACATGGAACAAAAAATAGATTTTGCACTTTTATATTGCACTTGAAATCTGGTCTGAGACACACTGACCTCGCTGTTCATAATGCGTTTAGTTCAATTGCAATAAAACCTGGTTTTTACGATGCATTCCATGTTACACTATTGAAACCTTCGAATTAATAATCCATGTCCATTGGAATAATGGCCTTCGTTTCCTTCAAACTATTGCTTTCTTGACAAGTAAGAGAGACATTAAAGTGTAAATAAGGTCTTTCAAATGCTCATTTGTAATGACCTTCCATTAGCTCCAACCATCTTAAACTCGCTGTCAAAATAAAAAGAAATAGTGACCTCCCATGAAAGACGAATGGCTGATATTGCCTGTATTTGCTTCACTTTCAGGATTAAAGTCAGTAAGTTAAAGATACCAGTGGCATTTAAAAAAAATTTAAAGTCTAAATGGCGTACTTACAAGGATGTTCTACAATATTAATTATATCCTTACCTTCGAAATGTTATGCACAGCAATACATTCCTGCTAAAGACTACTTTGACACAAATTGAAAAGTGGACATGTGAAAATGTGTGCATAGCATGAGATCCGACACCAATAAGATGTACTAGTATATGATATATAATATAAGAGATTGACTTCCAGTAGAACTTTGTTTATGCTTCGATTGTCCTTTATTATAAGAGTTTTTGGATAAATATTCAAAAACATATGTAAGCTTAAAATCTATCATCATTGAAATTAAAGCCATGTTTTTTTAGGTAATTTATAAATTAGAATAATGGTCAGAATTACGACATAATATTGTAAAATAGTATGTGTAACTTATGAAGCAGTGATTGCAGAAAAGATTGAAAGACGTTCTTGATATGAAATGGTGTTGGTTGATGTGTACGTTTTTTTTTCTATCCTGATTAAGTGCTGAATTTCATTTTGTGTTTTTTCAATATTGGATATGGTCAACAAATAATCACCACGGCTTAGAGATAGGAAGTGGCATTTTTGCCAATGAAACAACTATAACCTGTAAGGTGGTTTCAGTGGGGTTCAATCTGTAGTTTTCGGTATTTTGTTTTGTGAAACGTTTATCTCTTTTTCTTTTTGCCATGTTATATTTTTTACTAATGATTTCTGATTGCCCCATGCTACCTTCCCTTTGTAAACTTTACAATATTGAAGTTCTAACCTATTCAAGCCTATATGAGTATAATAAACAAGAAAAGATCCCAGCTATATTAGATTATTTCAAAGTAAAACTGTATTTCATCTTTTTGAAGTGGAAACGTAATGATTAATTACCACCATATGTCTGAAGAAATCCAGGTGTAATCAATAAAATACATAACTAACTGGAGAAATATTCCTACAAATTAAGTCATTAGATTTTTATCAATAGTATGTCATTAAGTAACATGGCAACTTCAAAATTGAGGTCCATAAGAGCCTTAATCACTCATCAGGCAAAATGTCGAAATTTACAAAATGTATTGTCACTTTTTCAAATTAAAAATTAATTTCCCTGAAACAAATTACTCATTTTCAAATATACAGCTTTTAACCTTATGTCATAGAAATATGATAGTACATGTAATTAATATTTTGCGTTTCAAGATAGTTAATTCTTCCTTCAAAATCCATCAACCAGCAAAGAAACCATAAAAACATAAAACAAGACTATGAGTCCATAGGACACCATGCCCTGCTCACATAACATTTCTGGAAAATCTGGGTCAACGCTCTCATTTGTTGTATACATTGTAAAAAGTTCACATCAGAATTAACATGATTACTAAGTTTCTAGTTGATATGACTACAACTTCGGGGTAATTAAAACTACCTTAAATCAAACACAACAAAAGGATAAACGGACTTACAGAACAAAGCACTCCAAGATCGAAAAACAAAACGTCCATCACTATATATTGTAGATTGGGCATAAAAACACATCATATTGAACTGTGTATAAACAAAAACTGACAAAGGAATGCATGGTTAAAACAGATGGCTACATGCCAGGTTGAACCTGACAACGTAACCCAAACAGAATAAAGGTATAAGTTATATTTACATCACAAATCACAAAAACTTGGCAAAAGAAATAAAAGACATGCACCTATTATGGATTTTACATTTACAGACAAAATCTACTGAAACAGTAGGTGGATGACAAATAAATAACTGTCGGATAGAAATCAGATGAATGAAAGTTAAGTAGCAGAAAAATGACCAAGTGGACTATGACAACAGGAAAACACATTTGTATATTTATTTACAAAGACAATTACAAAATATAATTAAAATATAGTCACATTTTAACAAACAATTACACTGAAATATGAAACAATAACTGCTAAGTACTAAATTAATTAAAATAAAAAGTTGTTGAACATGAGTTTATCAGAAGGAGAATATGATCATTATCTTCCACAGCTGAAATGCTTAAAGTCTACAACCTCAAAATATTTCCCTTCTTTGCTCTTCCATTTCGTATATATAATATGGTTACTTTATACTTCTGTTTTTCTAAATATAATTTAATCCAAACTTATCGTAAAGATAATTTCATGAATGTCACTTCTTTTATAAAAGATTAACTCTTAACTTTTGGCAAGAACAATTTTAAAATAAGTAAGATAATTATATCTAACTGGAGCCATATTATATATTCAGAAAAGCTAAATTGTTAGTTGAAATGCAATGCCATTTCAAGTTTTATATAACATTTTGTATAAAAACAAGATTATTACATATATATGTTATCAGTTGTGGTCTATTACAAAACAATTACAACTCTAAATGCATACTATAAAAATATCTTTGTAAAAATATGAAATGTGTGTATAAGACACAAAAATAAATAAAACAATGCCCTCAAACAATACTGTTTACAGCATTCACTCTCAAATCCAGACAATCTCAAAAATACATATTGAACTTTTTTATATTATACCCACAATTCTAAAAATCTATTTTATTATTTATCAAACTGAACCAGGTATCTTCTATCGTTGACATCAATCCTCAACAAAGGAAAACTTTTTACACCTTGTTTTAAGATAATGTCCCCTCTAAGGACTACAGTGCTTTTAAAGTAAAAGCAATTTTTTGTTTCTAAATCAGATCTTTGATAAAAAAATTGGCAAAAGTTTCATCAGATAATTACTTTATAAACATTCGCATAACAACGTCTGTATAGTTTATCCAAATACAGAAAATGTACAAAATAAATGCTTCAATTCATACAAAGTTTTTACTATATTACTTACAATTCATTTTAATAAATTCAACCATATTTGATATATCATAAAACATTTCCAACTTTAATCATCATCATAAATATCTTTGTAAATACCTGTAAACTTCTACACAACCAGATGGGAAAATTATACTTTTCTTTTCCATATAACGAAATATCAATAATGGAATGTGAAGAAAATACATAATTATATTTAAATGGCATAATTCTATGAGAGTTAATCTAAGTATTTATTAAAAATATGATAACTATGATGTTTAACCAAATCCAAAAATAATTATAAACAACTGAAAAATTTGACACACAGCAATCAATACATTTATCATTTATTCAAAATTGTCATCGGAAATTGCAAATGAATAATAATCCAATTACATTTTGAATGACAACCATCTGTTCATCTTCAGTGATGAATAAAGAGATGTAGGATATACCTCAAAGAGACTGCACAAATACTTGGAGTTTTGTCTAGTATAGATTTCTACTACATATCTTTTCTTTTCATTACTATTGTTTTCTTTTTTTCTATAATCATATTTTTAAAGAGTATAAAAAATGTCTAAAATTGTTGTGTAATCATGTAAAACCCCTAAAACACCAGACTTTTGATTATCAAATAAAAAATGGTGGGCCTTTAAACCTTCTTACTGGAATGTGTAACACATAATCATTTCTATTATAACAGACCATGGTTTTTTTATATTTGACTTAGAATATGATAAATTCAAAAAGGGTCTATATTCTTATTCTTCCAAAAATACACGTATATATATGTTATATTTTATTTTCAAAACTAATACAACCAAACTTAAAAGCACGTAAAACATCCTAACTACACAAAAATGCTATTGCACTGGTGCAGAAAAATATACACAAACAAGATACAATAATGACTAAATAGTAAAATAAACACATGTACTAGTTAAATGTTTGGCAAAAATAAACTGAGTGGTAATGACAGCAAAAATCTGCAACAATATTGCATCTACTTATAATGTACATTAACTGACTAGTATTCATACATAAAGTATTAAAGTCTATGTGTGTTGTAATATTTTTTCAATAAATGATGAAAATAAGTTTTTAGATTATGTGTGTACAAAGCACTTTTCTAGGTGAACCTTCATCGGGAATGCTAAAACCCAAAACTTTGAAAGCCAGTGAGATATAAGTACTTGAATATGTCAGGATCTTAGTAACAAAAATGGACCAAACACAAGAATAGTCAAATTCATCTAAAGTCAACTTTGCCTAGGGAGGTTAATAAGTATTTCAGCCTTTCTTTCTTTGCTACATATATATCTGTGCATATTAGGCTATGCAGAAATATAGGAGTTACTGTGCATTTACAAATGCTAAGCCTAGAAAAGATCCCTCAATGAAGGGTTAAAAAAGCAGAAAACTGGAGAACTCATAATGTAAAATAAGCACTTATTGAAAGACCTTCTGAACTTACAACTCTTGTCCTATCTATTGTAAAGTTGTCTTGCTTCGGACTATAAATAAAGAATTTGTAAAAGTTAAAAGGCACTTATGCTGTTTTACTTTCACTACAATATACTGCGCATCAACAGAAATATGTAATTACAAATCGTTATTTACAAATGTATATCTGTTCTATAAAAGATTAAAATAATAATCAATCCATTCAACGATATATAGAAATAATATCATCAATATAGCACCTTCTTAAAACGTTGTACAGATCTCTATAAATTTTGTTCAATATACAAATCCCCTTATCTTAATATTAAAAATATAATATCTTGTAAGTTTGGTGTAAGATAGTATTTTTCTAGATCATTTCTATATTTATAATCTATAGAATTATATATTCTCTAGATTCATAGACATCAATTGAATACAATTTTATCAAAATTTTCTTTACAAAAAGGCACAGGCTATGAATCAAATTAAAAAAAAACCATATCATTATGAAAAAGAATACAAAATAATCTGAATATTCTGGATTTTAAATTTAACCAAAATTCTGTGATTTTGTTCATATTTAGTTTGATAATGATGTTATGACAAAGGCTTATCAATGTTTGAGCACCAAGATAATTGTGATAGGTTCCTTATCAGGTTTTTTTTTTAGTATATGAAAAATTTTTTCAAAATGGTGGTTACAATAAAATCACTTTTGTATAATAACTAACATGATTTGAACATGAATTGACTGTCAAAATTTAACAAGAACAGAACATAATATAATGACCATATTTTTACTTGGAACAGTATTTGTTTTATAATTTTCTCTTTGTTATAATATTTTTCAATATTTAACACAATATTTTAGTACAAAATATTTCATTGCAATTTTAACTTCTAACCTATTTACAAAACTATCCTTCTAACAGGGACTATGAACTGCACATGACTCCATGCAATAACAATTTTCGTTGCACAAGATAAAAACATTCATCAAATTCAACAATCACAGCCAAGAATTTACAAATATTTTCAATAACACATTTTAATCAAATGAAAAAATGTTTAAGTAGCTTGCCATCTAACTGAAGGTTTGTTCCCATGTTAAACTTTTCAAGAAGCCATTAGCCTAAATTCACAATAAGACGATGGTCTGAAAGTAGAGATTATTTTCATAATATCCTGAATTGAGCAAAGTCATAAAACCATCCTGCGTTTATGACATGATCTGTGTATCTATTTTATACATTTATCTTCAGTAAGTTTATATTTATAATTCATTTGTGAAAAAATAAAATTTCCACAGCTTTATAAATACATTTTATATGCATGGTAATGACAAGATTTAGACTTGAAGACAATGAGTGGCCTAAATATTTTTTTCAAAACAGCAGATACAGACTAGTTAGTTTAACAGGTCAAATATTCAATACAGAAATTACAGATCTCTAGAATGTATCCACTGCAAAATCTATTCATGAGAATCTAGGATAAATTCTTGCATATAAATATCTTCTTCCAAACCTTCAGTATTTGAATAAAAAATGAATGGAACTCTTCCTCTACTATAATGAGCTCCACAGATAGTTGTTAAGGTGACAACATATAATTCAAAGTCACTACTGTTGAAAACAGATCCATTACATACAGGAATCATCTCGTGTATATATCACTGATTAAGACACTTCAACATTGATACCTTCGTCATCTGAAGAAAAATAAAACACAAATTAATACTTGAAAAGTTATACAAAGGGTGAAAACCAAGCTATCAAACTATAATGATAAGTCATTGATACATAAAGCCATAAACATGTACAATACAACATTATATAAATAACCCATAGCTGAGAGGGTGATAGAGCAAATTGTTACCTCAAGAAAACATTGTCAACTGAGGTGAAGTCATTTAACCTGTTAAACTGAATGGTCTGTTATTATTGTCTTTAAGTTTTAAAATTTTAAATTTTAAATTGAAAGTAATAAACTATGACTTTATGAACATAACAAGGTTAAAGTAATATGAACAGTAACAAATGTGAAGCAAGATGTATTTTTTTATGTTTATAGTCTAATAATTTAATTTTGGATGTAACGCGTCTTCTGATTGGCTGACGTTGTTTTGTTTATCAGCTCATAGACATAATTTTGTCATGTGACCGTGACGTCATCAACGTTTTTTCATGGTTTACTCCGGTTTAAAATGGAATTTAGAATTAAATTATAAGAAATGACTGTAATATTTTTTCTGTCTATTCGAAATAACATAAAAAATGTGGTGCACACTTTAAAATAACCCGCTACGCGAGATATTCAGTGTGCACCACATTTTTGATGTTATTTCTTCATAGACAGAAAAAATATTACAGTCATTCCTTAATGAAAGAAATGTAGACCTATATATTAAATTAGCATTGTCTTTAAAATTGTTGATGAAATTTCAATTCATTATCTTTTAAATTATCAATTATTGATTCATTTGCACGAGAGGGAACACTGAAAAAATGGTCTCCCACTGGGCCATGGGATATAGTCAAATGTTTCTGTCATTTTAACCAATTAAAACCTGGCATATAAAATCAAAACAATGTGTTATATGTCATTTGAAAAAGTAACAATTAAGTTAAAATATATTCATGCATCTGTGTATGTTATTTTATTTAATGCCATTTTGTCCTAGGTTTAAGTTGTCTTTTTGACATTGAAACATCTTAGTTATTTATATTGTGTCATAGATCAAACTTATTCGTTCAGTGTATATATACTTGTTTTTGTGTATTGTCCTTTTGATCGAGTTAAGCCGTTTTCTCCGGGCACTCCGGCTTCCTCCACCAATAAAAACTGACCGCCACGAAATAGCCCAAAAGTGGTGCTTAAAAGTGGCGTTAAAACACAAAAAAATCCCCCAAAAAAATCCAATCGAGTTAAGCCATTTCAATTTATATTTTATTGTGCGTCTTTTTATGTTGTAATGTTATACCTCTGTTTCAGGTTAGGGTGAAGGTTGGCACCTGTTAAAACGTTTAAACCCGCTGCATTTTTATGCACCTGTCCTAAGTCAGGAGCCTGTTGTTCAGTGGTTGTCGTTTGTTTGTGTGGTTCATAAGTGTTTCTCGTTTTTTTATATAGATTAGACCATTGGTTTTCCTGTTTGAATTGTTTTACACTAGTCTTTTTGGGGCCCTTTATAGCTAGCTGTTCAGTGTGAGCCTAGGCTCCGTGTTGAAGGCTGTACTTTGACCTATAATTGTTTACTTTTTACACATTGTGACTTGGATGGATAGTTGTCTCATTGGCACTCATACCACATCTTCTTATTTATATCATTAATTCTCATAGAAACTGGTAGAGGTTCTATTTTTTGGGGAGTTAAAAGTAGATTACAAGCTATGCTACAATAAAAAAAATATATAAATAAAAAAATTGGTCTGCCTGTTTAAACCAGCATTGCACAGGAGGAACTGCATTTTCATTAGCTTAAATTAAATATTTTCTTATATTTCTTTAATTAGCTCTTCTTAAAAATCCAATTAATCTGACTAATAATGAGATAGTTAGTTGGCTGTGGGTTTGATTGTAAAGCTAAACATTTAATATTTATATAAACAGATATCTTCAGTAACAGAAACTCAGTTTGCAACAAATGATTTTTTTTTTAAACTTGCAGAAAATAATTGAATTTCCAGCATAAAGTTACATTTACTAATCTCATACTGTTTCTTAGTCCATTAATCATACTTATTAAATTAGGTTCAATGATAGAAGTTGGATAAGTGTATTCATGATATTAAACATTAAGTTCATTTCAAAATTGAATAGTTTATATTGTTCTGTCTGCATTGTTCTCCAAATCTTTTACAGGATAACATTGACATTTTGCTTATCACAATACAGAGTATCTTACATTATTTATATCACTTTACTCTGAAGAAACATAACATTTAACTGTCAATTAAAACTAAAATACATCATGCTGTTTTCTGTCAAAAGAGACAACAGACCAATAACTGTCATTTTAAACTAAACATTGGACCAATAATCCTCATTTCTGACTAAAGATAAACTTTTATTCCCTATCCTTTGTTAGATTATTTTCATCAACATGGATTTTCCATTATAGTCAAATGTTAATATACAACATTGTTTTACACAGGAGAGAGTGATTTTAATCTTCACATTTTATATTATTGTCAATTAAAGTAAATGTACAAGTAATGTTTTGATGCAATTATATTATGCATGCATATCAAGAAAGGAAAAATTAATGTGACATGCATGTTCTGGTAGTATTTTAAAATACAAAGTTGGATCATGAAATGTGGTAAAAATTAGGAATTCATAAATGTTTGAATTGTTACTTCTTTTTATTATCACATGCAGTGGAATACAAAAACCCATTTTGAAATTTTAACCAAAACAGTTTTATTTAGTTTCAACCTCACAAAACAGACTGGAGTATTAATAAAACTATTAATCTGAATAGCTGGTTGTAATTCTGGTTATAGGTTAAACAAATTTAAAAAAAATGTAACAATAGTAAAATTAAAATTTTAACTCAAACCTTTGTCACAAACTGAAAGCACAAGAGAACAGAATTGAAGAACTAACAATGCATAATAAAAAAAAACATGAACAAAAGTGCATTGGAATGAGATTTTAAAGAGACTCTAGCACTGAAGCTTCAAATATGCACGAACAAACTCATTCTGACATAAAACAAATGAAACAAATATGCCAATTTTGCCTTCTACATTAGCTTCATACAAAAAAATAAACAAAATACGTTTGATAACATAGTTGTTTTCATTTATTCATTCTTTTCCTCTCATCCAAAGCAGTTAACAAAATAACCAACATAATAAATTCAATTACCCCAAAAGACAGCTTTAGCTGAAACAATATGGGAATATATACAGAAATATGTTAAAAAAACACAGAAATTAAACACTTTAAAATATCTATTGAATGGTTCTATATATATCAAAAACTCTCAATTGAAAACAAAAAGAGACACTCACTTTCATTTAAGAATTGTGTGCAGTTGTTTTAAAATCAATGTTTGTACCTAAATCATACAACTTGATGACAAAAGACTTTGCTCAATTCCAATTTTTAATTGCACAAGATTTGTTTTTTAGAATTTATTTTTCCAACACCAATAATCAGGTTACAGAAAGCAGACAGGAAATGGACTTGGTAACAGTTTATTATCCACAAAGCGAACAGCCTAATTATCCACTTGTCAATTTCATAAAAAACTTCAAATGTTCCACTCTACATATAGTAACAACACATAATCTATAAAGCTACCATCCATGGACATGGTTAGACTGTTCAACTAGACTGAGAGATGCTATAACAATTCATAAAGCTAACAGATCTAATCTTCCAATGATGAGGGAACATTACATAATCAACATAGCTAAACACATCTTATGTTCTACTTATGATACAAAACGTACAAATACAGGAATCACAACAGAACTCATGATCCCCATACAGCTAAATAGCCATAAAAACACACATACACACTCAAAGACAAACAACAACAAACAGCACATGGTACAGCCTGACTTGGTACATCCCATTATAGCAAAGATAAATGCTGCCCACGTTCCAATAAACATGAAACCATTACATAATTCAAGTTTCCACTGAATTCCATTTGTTCAACAATAAATTTCAATGTCTTACCTTCAAATGCCTGATTGATATTTCAATGTCTTACCTTCAAATGCCTGATTGACGTTTCATGTCTTACCTTCAAATGCCTGATTGACGTTTCAATGTCTTACCTTCAAATGCCTGATTGACGTTTCAATGTCTTACCTTCAAATGCCTGATTGACGTTTCATGTCTTACCTTCAAATGCCTGATTGACGTTTCAATGTCTTACATTCAAATGCCTGATTGACGTTTCAATGTCTTACATTCAAATGCCTGATTGACGTTTCATGTCTTACCTTCAAATGCCTGATTGACGTTTCAATGTCTTACCTTCAAATGCCTGATTGACGTTTCAATGTCTTACCTTCAAATGCCTGATTGACGTTTCATGTCTTACCTTCAAATGCCTGATTGACGTTTCAATGTCTTACCTTCAAATGCCTGATTGACGTTTCAATGTCTTACCTTCAAATGCCTGATTGACGTTTCAATGTCTTACCTTCAAATGCCTGATTGACGTTTCCTGAGTTAACATACACGTGTTCTTCTTCTTTACCATCTAATACACACATAAGGCACTGGTGTATACATACATATTGTTGCTGAAAGTATCACAAATAATTTGTTAGCATCTTCTATCCCTGATCAACCATATTATATCAGCTTGGTATAAACACATAAATATATGGAGAGAGGACATCAGTATTTACTCCTGTAGTCAACATAGCTTTGACTAAATACAGGGAATTATTAAGAAATACATAAACTACAAGTAGGAGACAAACAGTGTATCAATAACATTATATATACAGATACAAATCAACAATTTTTTGTCGTTCAAATATCTGTAATAGCTCTCGCTGCGATATAGCCTTTTTGCACTAATGGGACGTAAAGCAAACACCTATCAATCAAACAATCAGCCAATTTTTGTCATATTTGACAGAATAGTTTAATGACTGTATCATCATGATAACTAGAAGTATTTCCTAGTTCTAAGGTATTGTTGGGTTGATGTCTCCATAATGTTTACTCCATATTACTCTAATCATACTTCAAAAGTTTCTTGGAAATATCAGTAGGAAAATAAGACTTTTTTTCATAGTAGTGGAATTTTATCTGATTCACATCCAAGTGATATCCTTTTAAATGAGAGTGTATGAGATCATAAAACAATGAATCATAGCCTACCTCTGTTTGTACCATCCAGACCCTCTCTCTCCTCATCTCTGCCACCACATTAAATATATCTATAATATCACGATCTAATATGTCCTGTAGTAGTCTGTCTAGGCCAATGAAAGTTCCAGATCTTCCGACACCAGCACTGATATAAGAAAATAAAACCATGGTTATTAGAATAACTCTGGTCGATAGTGGTCACATTGGCAATTGTACCACATCTCCTTATTTTCATATTGTATGATTTTGTGAGATAATTTTAAAAAGTGATGCAATCATACACATTTCTCTTTAATTTCATATTCAATATTCTGTTCACAAATATAAGTTTATGGACCTATGTTAGTTTAAGGCAAAAGAATCTTCCATCAGAGCTATTGAATGGTAAAATTAATAGAAGATAAATCTTTTGACTGACTTTTAATTCTAACTATATCTCTTTTAGTTTGCTTTTAAAGCTGACATTTAAATATAACCATGGTGAAATGTTTAATAAATGAATCTCATAATATCAAAATGTCTTGTTTTACCTGCAGTGAACAACAATAGGTCCACATTCCCTGATTAATTTTTCCCTGACTATTCTGACGAATCTTATCAATGTTTGTGGCTTATCAGGAACACCAAAATCTGGCCAAGCTGTGAAATGGAAATGTCTGACTTGTCTGGTCAAATCTCCCTGAAAAACATAAAAAAGACAACATCAATTTGCGATCAAAATATAATACAAGGTGGGATTTTAAGTTAGGATGTCTTTTACAAGTGTACACCAGTTGCTGACAGAACAAAGGCAGTTTTTAGTATTAGAATATAATCATGGCATCATTCAAAGTTTTTGATTACCACAAAAACCAACTTCAGTCATTAGACATTTAACCCGAAAATGCCACAAATACACCTGATATTCACAATCTTGAATTCTTGTGGTTAAACAAATATTTAAGATAGGAATCCTTATAACATTATAATAAACAGATATTAACTAAAAAATCCTTACATAAGAGCTGTCCAAGTACTTACAAGAGCAATCCTGAATATCATAATTAACATTTACTCATATAAACAACTGTGAACATTGGAACTGTCCAAGTAGATCATAACCACATTATTTAACAGATACTAACTAGAGGAATTCTAAACATAATATTAAACAAATACTCACCAGAGCAATCCTGAACATTATATTTAACAACAAATACTCACCAGAGCAATCCTGAACATTATATTAACAACAAATACTCACCAGAGCAATCCTGAACTCTGTAACTGTCCATGATGGAAACTTTGTCTCATTCAGAACAGCTACTTGTATATCACCATAAAACATGGCATCTGATCCTGATGGCCAATACTGGTCACATTTTTCCTGATTTGAAATATAATTGTATAACTTATACACAATTGGAAGAGTTTTGGGTGTAAGCATTAAAAGTATCTCGGCATAAAACAAAACAAAGACTAAAATTCTCTTTATATTTCCAAGTTTAAATTATTTATCTAAATGTATAATTAACCAATAATATACAAACTCATATACACCATATACACATTTATGCTCAACTGCAATAAAACAAAATCCATGTCTATGTATATTTATTTTTAAACTCTAGTCATATTTTGTTCATTTTAGTGTTATATTTCTTTATAAAGAGTGTGCATAAATTTCAAGGCAATTTTGTAACATCCCATGATAAAGGTGATTATAAAAGGTCTGTTTAGAACTTTGATATATGATTTGGTTTCTAGAAGTATAACAAAGTTTATACAATAACAGTATATAAACCAAATATTTCATAGTATGAAAACATTGCTCGACTGATTTCATAATCTTTTTTACTGTAGTGGTGAAAAAAATATACGGACAAACTTTTGGTTTGGTTATTATAACATAATTGTACTACAAACCGAAGGAAAGTAAAATAATATGTGTCCATAGGACCTCATGTCTCACTCCTATCAATAATATGTGTCCATAGGACCTCATGTCTCACTCCTATCAATAATATGTGTCCATAGGACCTCATGTCTCACTCCTATCAATAATATGTGTCCATAGGACCTCATGTCTCACTCCTATCAATAATATGTGTCCATAGGACCTCATGTCTCACTCCTATCAATAATATGTGTCCATAGGACCTCATGTCTCACTCTTGTCAATAATATGTGTCCATAGGACCTCATGTCTCACTCCTATCAATAATATGTGTCCATAGGACCTCATGTCTAACTCTTACTATCAAATTTACATGTTCAGTGAACCACAAAATCTGGGACGAAATCCTAAATTGGTATACATTTATATTTTTTTTTACATCTACTAAGTTTCTAGATGATGATACCACAACTTCATGTCAAAATACATTCAACCAAAACTCTACCTGGATACATGATGAATAAACACCGACTTACTGTTGAAGGAGGGGCAAACAAATAAAACATTGGATGGTTCTTATTGCTTGTTTTAAAAGAATTTTAGAAAGCTTGAAATGCAAAAGATATGTAAATGACATCCTATTCTATAACATTATCTGCATATAAAGTACTTACCCTTCCTTTTTCTACACATTTAGTTAACATAACAACATTCCTAGAATTCTGTTCCCAGATCATTCTCCAAAAGTCATCTCTTGTAGATGGTAGTGGTCCTTGTGTCACTATATACTCTCTCTTCGAATTAAAACCCTGTAAATAGAAAATAAAAATGCTCCCGTCTTTCAATGAAATTATTTTTTTTCTGAAAACTATTCTCAGAACAAACTATTTATATGTTAGCTAAACATGATTTTAATTATCATTTCCATATGAACAAGAAGTTTTGTTGAAATGTTTGTTCCTAAATGTTGTCAATCCTACCAACCTCTCAAAAATTCCTTAAGCAACATCAAATTTGAGAAAATTATCTTTTTTCTTTTTGTGGTGGTAAAATATCATTATAAATCAAGCTGCTTTCTTTCCATAGATACCATGTATTGTGAAACACCAATTCGTTTGCAAGGATTTTTTATATCAACATATTTGCTTTCCTATTGGTTTGCTAGCAAAATTATGTTAGAAGGGAGATAACTGGAAAATGATTCAGTCCAAATCTTTAAGTGACACAATAGAATCTGTATTTAAAAAGTTGATACCATTTTTGACGCTTTTGATGGATATTTCTGGTATACCTTCATCAGAAACACTAGGAACCAAATGATGGAGGAAGCAAAGATGCATATAAGGAAAAAAGCAAAATGTCATCTTAGGAATTTGTTTTACAATATAACAATGATATGACAAAACATCAAATATATCAATCAGGTCAGATATTTGGCCAGTATACATGCATATAAGTAGTTTTGTTGTAACAAAATAACTGGTCAGTATAAGTGTTAACTTACAGGCATATAATTAGCATTGATATAATCAGATCCTTCTTCGTCATCTGTTGGTAGTAATTTGACTCTGGAGTGGTCATATGGTAGAATATTAGTAAATCTATTCTTGCCACGGTTTACTGGAAGTTCTGCTGCTGAGCATGATTGCTCCCTCCCAATTTCCTTCAAATCCTGAAAATAAAAGAGTTTGTTTATAAATATCAGTACAATTCAAGACCCAAATATATGTCACTTTCTAATTATGTTGATATAATGCATCTGCTTAAAATTAATTTTGTTATGTTATCAAGGTTAACATGGTTAAGATTGCAAGGCATTGCTACCTACTTTTTTTCATTGATTTAATGTTTGTATATGGAATTAGTGAGCTAAATTAAAATCGGAACGAAATTATACTTAATTCATTCTTCACAATTAACTATGGAATGGCATACTATGTAAAATTAAACCTCTAATGTCAAGTAAGTATTAAAAAGTATTAATGGTATTAAGGTTTTTACTGTATCATGAAATTCAAATTAATATATTTGTCTATACACAATGCTGTAACTTTAAAAAAATTATGCAATGAAAGTAATAAGTTAAGAAAATATCTGCCTATTGTTTTAACCAAAGTCCTATAAAAGATTTTTAGCAATCATACAAAGTATGAAAAATACTGAGTTACTTAGCAAATAGATTTATGAGTAGTTGATTTATATATGAATTTTACCTCGAATTCCTCAGCATACTTGAAATCCGAGTCAGCAGACATTGTCAACACATGGTCTCTAAAGTTTACAATGTTTATTTCATGCCTGTAACAAGAAAAAGTCATCTTTACTTCTGAATTTGTTTTTTAAAAAAAATGTTACAAGTCAGGAGAATTCATCTTAACTGCAATATTCTAAAGTAACTATTACACATTTTAATTAGGGGCCAGCTGAGGACCATCTCCGGGTGCGGGATTTTCTTGCTGCGTTGAAGACCCTTTGGTGGCCTTCGGCTGTTGTCTGCTCTTTGGTCGGGTTGTTGTCTCTTTGACATATTCCCCATTTCCATTCTCAATCTTAATACAATTCAAATTCATAAAAACTTCATAGTTTCTTCTGCATTCAGAATGGAAAATAAAAAAACAAACTAAACGTCAAAATATCACCTCAATATAAAACTAGCAAACTCTTCAAAATATGATACTGCCGAGAAGCAAAGATTGTAGGTAAAAGCCTCCCACTTGCCTCAAATTACATGTGAATCTTAGAGTTAATGTTTCAATTTGGACAACTACGTATCTTAAATTCCATAAAGTAAAACAGATGCTCCTTAGCATAGGATTTTGTAGGGGATGTTTGTACATTATAAGAGTGCGACATAATCAAACAAATATATTATATATAATGTTCCCACTGGCATTGCAAGTGACTCTATTAAAACATCCTACCCATAATCATAACTAATTGGTAATCAAAGTCTTAAAGATTGCAAAACCGTTTTTCTTTTGATTCCTTAGACTTTTTTTTATCATTCTTGTAACATGAAAATTATACCCTAAACTTACTTTTTCTTGTGACTTCTCATTGATGACCTAGGAGTCATCCTGTGGTCATGACCTTGTCTATACATGTTACTCTTTGATCTGATATTTCTCCGTAGGAACAAAACAGCAAATAGAATAAGAGCAATGATAACAACGGCTGCCACAATACCACCAATGATTCCTCCATAACTACTTTCTTCTGTTACAGAACCTGTAATAAGTATTACCTCCCTTTGTATTGACCAATATTTCAATTTACAAGACAGTTTCTGCGAAATTATTTGTAATCAACTTAAAAAGATGATTATTCAATTTGTATGAAAAGATCACAAAAACATTTTTAAAGAGAAATAATCAAAAACAGAAAAAAATGAATTATTTCCCCTTAAACATACACATTCTTATTTATAAAATACATAAAATGTGTCTTTTTGCCTGTGGATATTGTTCAACAAAAATAGTAACCCTTGATTTTATTATGGATAGTTTTGATGACTCATGACATGAAAGATTTGAGAATTCATGAAATTATGAATGAATGATTTAGTGACCAATGTAAGAAATGAGGTGAGATACAAAATGTATATGAAGAAGTAGTCATCACTGATTTCTTTTTTCATTTATCATCCATGGCAACTGCACAGGTATGAAAGTCTGAAAGAGACTAATTATAAAGGTAAATATCTTTACATGTATCAACTGTCAGGTGTATAAACTTTCTATTTTTAGCTGTGGTCAATTGAATGTTAAAAAATTATTAAAATTCTCTTTCAGGAATGATGCTATTAATTTTCAGTAGTTCATGCAAGCAGGTCAGTCTGTGTAAATATTTGAGAAAATGACATAAGATAGTTGGAAAAACAAATATGTAATTTTTAAATTATGAGGTTCAAAGTATTATTTTTTAACTGGTTAGCCATCATAACATATCATTATAGATCATGCTTGAATCCTCAAGAATCGATACAGAGAATGCAGCTCAAGATTTACCATATATTTTACAATTAGTTGATTTTTACCTGTTTTGAAAGGAAGAGAATAGACTGTATCTGCATGTCCCCCAGTTGTGTAGGCCCGTAGCTTGATGTAATATTCGGTGTTCTGTTTTAAAGGTCCATTACAATAATGAGGATCTTTGCAGTTTGTTTCACTGCCGATTACGAACGTTTTATACTCCTCTTCCCCAACACTCCTTTTCTGAACATGTAAATGACCATTACATGTAGACTCCAGTACAAAGAAGTCAGAACAATTAGAAACGGCTTGATAAGCTTTGATGGACGGGTCATTCTGATAAGCCTTCCATCCAGGTAGGGTGTTGGTATTTAGATAGTCCTCATCAGTACTGGTAGCTACTATAATGGTGTACTGAATTATCTCCCCATGGTCCTCAGAGAATGCATTAGTAAATCTTGCAGTTATCGTTGACGGTGTTACAGAAGAGGTTGAGTCTTCCGGAGGTTTAGGGGCAGCCATGTCTGAACTAATTCCATCCTTAAGTATTGGGTCTAAGGAAATATTAGTAAAAATTATGATAAACATTTAAGGTGTCATGCTGAAGTCAGGTTAATACAACTAGTATTTGTAATGGAGATCAAAATATCAGTATCTGTCTTGAAATGGAAAGTTCATGCACCAATATAAGTAGAATAATATAAACTTTGAGCAGAACTCATTTCACATATATAGTTATTCTGCATTAATCTATACATTTAAGCAATTCAGTAAAGCATGCAACCAAACAAGTTCAAAGTTTAATTATCATATGAAGAAATGGAAGAAAGGAAAAAACAGAAAAGAAATGTTAACTTACTGTACGTTCTTGTTGTAAGAAGACTGGACACTGAAGGACCATTTGTAACAGTCTTAGCATAAACCTGAAATAAAATATTAGGATAATGGAGAAATTACTTTAAGAGTCCTACTCCAAATTCAAAGCATTACAAAGTCATTTGCATTTTGTGATATAATAATTGATAGCCATACATATTTGAAAAAAAAAAACAGTTTCATACAGACAAACACAGTGGAAAAAAATCAAATATGGTTTTCTTTATTTTATATTTGTGTTTTGTGGAATGATGTTGGTTTTTCTATGACTTAAGATTCTTTATCAAAATTGAGAATGGAAATGGGGAATATGTCAAAGAGACAACAACCCGGCCAAAGAGCAGATAACAGCCGAGGCCACCTATGGGTCTTCAATGCAGTGAGAAAATCCCGCACCCGGAGGTGGTCCTCAGCTGGCCCCTAAATAAAAAATGTGTACTAGTTTATTGCCCTTTTGGTATTTCATTGCTCTTTTTTATTTCAGATTATATATTTAAAAAATATTTTTCAAATTAGAAGTGCTCCCCTATGATAATATTCTGTTGTGATACCAACTCATCAAAGACATAAAATCATACTTGATGAACATAAGTATCTATATAGACGACTATGAAGTTCATGGATTTTACCATACATTTCTATGTCACAATGCTTATGTTATTACGTCACAGTAAGAACAAATTGATATCATTTATGCCAATTGACCTCGGATCAATGGGTGTAACTCATTCATAGAAATCAAATCCAGATTGGTCTATTGACTTTGAACAAGGAACAGCAATCAAAGTGCATTATTTTGATTTGTCAAGTGTAAGTCAGTATTTTGTGAAATGAATTCATACAACATGACCCTTGCTTTCCGTTTTGTATTAATATGTTATGTACTCCTTTGGCAATTATTTTTAGGTTTTTTTGGTCATATAGCTCTTCAAATGTTTCAGTTCTTACACAATCTTGGCTTTCAAATATTCAGCTTCAAGTGTTCCTGATGAAGGTAAATCTAGAAAAATGCTTTAATTTTTTTGAACTATAAACTACTCTAATTTTTATACATACCATAAATATATATTTAAGTCCTGCTGTTAAATCTTTGAGTGTGTATGTTATAGGATCAATGAAGGCTGATGTAGAGTCTACCATGATAGTTCTTACGTTAGAGTCAATCACAGGTTCCTACAATATAGAATGATGTTTATTAGGGAATCTTATGTTCTTACGTTAGAGTCAATCACAGGTTCCTACAATATAGAATGTTGTTTATTAGGGAATCTTATGTTCTTACGTTAGAGTCAATCACAGGTTCCTACAATATAGAATGTTGTTTATCAGGGAATCTTATGTTCTTACGTTAGAGTCAATCACAGGTTCCTACAATATAGAATGTTGTTTATTAGGGAATCTTATGTTCTTATGTTAGAGTCAATCACAGGTTCCTACAATATAGAATGTTGTTTATTAGGGAATCTTATGTTCTTACGTTAGAGTCAATCACAGGTTCCTACAATATAGAATGATGTTTATTAAGGAATCTTATGTTCTTACGGAAGAGTCAATCACAGGTTCCTACAATATAGAATGTTGTTTATTAGGGAATCTTATGTTCTTAAGTTAGAGTCAATCACAGGTTCCCACAATATAGAATGTTGTTTATTAGGGAATCTTATGTTCTTACGTTAGAGTCAATCACAGGTTCCTACAATATAGATTGTTGTTTATTAGGGAATCTTATGTTCTTACGTTAGAGTCAATCACAGGTTCCTAAAATATAGAATGTTGTTTATTAGGGAATCTTATGTTCTTACGTTAGAGTCAATCACAGGTTCCTACAATATAGAATGTTGTTTATTAGGGAATCATATGTTCTTACGTTAGAGTCAATCACAGGTTCCTACAATATAGAATGAGGTTTATTAGGGAATCTTATCAATACTTTTTACTGCATGAATAACAGTATATAAACTTATAATAATTGATTTATAATTTTCCTGTTAACAAAGATCAATAATCCCGCTTGTATAGTCCGCGGTTTTATTCTCCAAAACTGAACCTGCCAGACAGGGGTGCGGACTATCGAGTACAATAAGCAAGAAATAAGAGAAAAAATTTGAATTCGCGAGGTTTGTTTACGTTCCGTCATGTTTGTTATTGAATTTGTAGAGGGGCTCTTATCATTTTCAAAACTTATAATTTTACCTAATCCATATTGATATGTAATTTTTATGTTAAATCATCAAATTTAAACTAATAAATTCAAAAATGTAATGCTTCACTACCAATTTCTCATTTCTTTTCACTGCATTGCTTAAAATAAACTGGAATCTGCTTGAATTTAACGGAACAAAAAGAAAGAAGAAGTTCAACAAGGAACCAGCTTTAATACGATGTATAAACTATAAAACGTAATCGGTTATTCGTTCCGTTTTGGGGTTTCATACTGACGCATGTGTTTTGTTTTAGCTTAAGATCCTTAAAAAATTAATGTGATAGATATGTTAAACATTATCTTACTCAAGGATGAAATTGATTTACTTTCAAAGTCTTATTCTAGTGATATCTATTAAGTACGGATTTTCTGTACACTCTCACCGTATTTATTTTCATTTACAAGTGCTATTCAAACTTCCAGTTTAAACATACACAAGTTTCTAAATTATATTTTTTGGAGATTTTGACTTATTTTAACACTCGTGAAGTGTTCTAGAATCATTTACATGCATTTCCAACTTCTATTTGATGAGGGAAAACGGGGTTTTCCATGAAAATATCTCAAACGACCACACATGATTTGAAATTACCAGAGTTTCATAAGACATTTTCTAACAGTTACAAAAATTTTTTTACCTGAAATTTAAAGGTGAGAAGGGGGTGCGGACTATGTACCAGTGCAAAATATACAAGCCCAATTACGGTACTGACTTTTTTTGTTAAAATATTCTACAACCTTCTGTACACAACAAATGCACAACTAATTTGATATTTATTACCACAGATATTGATTTTCAATGTAAATCTTTGAAGATACTACAGAATAAATAGTGTATTCTAATGGAAAAAATCTGTATTTATAGAAAATCCACAAGGTTAAAAAATCAAGTGTTCCATTGGAACCCATGTCATGCAAAGCTAAATGAAAGACAGAACTGCAGACCTTTATCTAATTAATATTTAGACCAAATATGAGAAATAAAAAACAACCTACACATTCAATTTTCATGTTTGGAAAAAACATTTTGCTGTCTGAGAATTTCAAATAAAAAAAGTATAGGGTTTTATGAAAATGGAAATATTGTACCATTCTGATCAACTCTCTTTACAGATATGACAACTTTCCCGTGGCAGGACATGATTTACAAAAATATTGCATTTCTTAAAAGGTTATCAGTATACTACCTATGTCATAAAGAAAAGTTGCAGTATATTTACAACTTACCATGTCATTCCTTCTTCCCCGATATTCCACAACATAAGCTGTAATTATTCCATTTGTGACCCTGGGGGCATTCCAGGTCAAGACTACTTCCCTTGGCTTTGTCTCTTTAGCATGTAAATTCTGTACTACAGATGGTGCTGAAGATAGGAAGTTTGAGATTAGAATAAAAACAGATTATCAAAAAAATAGTAATAAAATAAAACATTTATAGTTAGTCTGCAAAAAGTAGACATCTGAAAAAAATAAAAGCAGTTTAACATTCATGGAGTTCAAATTGTGTGACTTAAATTCACATACAACATTAATGTGTTCCTAAATTCACATATAACATCAATGTGTTCAAAATTTCACATATAGCATCAATATGTTCCTAAATTTACATATAACATCAATGTGTTCCAAAATTCACATATAACATTGATGTGTTCCAAAATTCACATATAACATCAATGTGTTCTTAAATTCACATATAACATAGATGTTATCCTAAATTCACATATAACATCAATGTGTTCCTAAATTCACAAATAACATCAATGTGTTTCTAAATTCACACATAGCATCAATGTGTTCCTATATTCACATATAACATCAATGTGTTCCTAATTCACATATAGCATCAATGTGTTCCTAAATTCACATATAACATCAATGTGTTTCTTAATTCACATATAGCATTAATGTGTTCCTACCTGCTTGTGCTGTTTCTATATTCATAAAGAAAGACACATTTTTCAGACCAGCAAAAGTAACGATCTGGAATTTATATTTCTGATATGGTGTCAGCTTTACAAAAGGTAGAGTAATTTTATCTTTATTGGCATCTATTGTATGACTGCCACATGGAGACGAGTGCAGTGCACATATGATCAGGTAACTGTCTACACGACCTGATGGCTTGTTAATAATCAGTGTTATCTCTGTAGCAGTGCTGATCTGTTCTACATGAGGCCTGTTTGGGGCTGAAAAGTAAATTATACAAAACTGAGTATAAAACTATCACACTTGTTATTTCTAAAATAACACAGGGTAAATATAATCAATTTTTGTACATTAAAATATGACTAAGCAAGTAATATACCTCATTTTAAACTTGTGGAACTATATTGATATGTTACTTTATTGTCATTCATAGATTAGTTGTCTGTAGCAGCAGTTTGTTGCTTTTGGACACATAAAATTCAACTAAGTGGTTACTTAATTTATGATAATTAACATACTTCACTTTTTCTTATTTATAAAAATAATCAAATATTCCATTCTGACATGAAATCTCCTTGCCACTCTAAGGTTTATAAAATGGCAACCACACATGAAAACAGTATATAGAAAATGCATGCTTTTGATCACCATGTCTGACAGTCATATTATCATTTTTAATCCTTTATTAAGGCTCCCTTTTAAAGTTTGAAAATTAACCTAGATCTCTTTCAATTCAGTAACAGAATCTATATAAAAATAAAAAGATGTAGTATGATTACCAATGAGACAATTCTCCCCCAGAGACCAAATGATGCCATCTTTGTTTTCTGTCTTGTATATAATGGAACATGAACAGCTTACCTGTGAATATGGAGATACTCCTTATATCACTGATCTGTGTGTTACTGACTGTCAACACACCAACAACATACAAACTTCCACCTTTCAATCTGTCAAATGTGACCATTCTGTTTGTATCACTTCTGCTCTTTATTACAGGTGATCTTTGTGTATCATTGACAAGAGTAAATTGATAATGATCAAACTGATTTAATACAGCTGTATACTGGATAGTAATGACATCACTTGTAGTCAAGGCTGTATTCTCCAGTAATGCTGTCAAACATTCAGGCTCTGAAACAAACACAACAATTCGTAATTAAATCTGTCAGCAGTTGGAAATATGTATTGCAGAGGATAAATTGTCATATTTATACACATTTTACTTGTGTAGTGAATTATTTTTTTCTAATTTAGTAGTCAAACCTGCCTTAACAGTCACCTCGTTTCAGCAGTCACCTCGTTTCAGCGGTCACCTGCCTCTTACAGTCACTTTCAGACCTCCCGAAAGTTTTCTCTATATAATTTAACTCATTTCAGCAGTCACCTAATTTCTGTATGAAATCGTCATTTCAACTTTTAATAACAGTCATTTTAATGTTTTAACTACCAACATAATGATGACGCAAATATGTGTTATCAGTATTGAAATCAAAATGAAAGTCGAAACCCACTTGCATCTGAGATCGTGCAATAGAAGGTGAATTTGTGATTTCCCGTGTTCCAATCTTTTCAGTTTCCATTTAAAACCATATTAACGACTTTTTTCTCCTCGAATATTAAGATATTTTGAATTTTTCTTCAAAATTTCAGCACCGGAATCCGCCATTTTTCATTTTACTGCTCTCAGGTGCGAAAATCTCCCGATTGAAAACACTAAAACAATTCGCCTCATTCCCGGGCTCAGGTGTATCCGAATTTTTTTGAAATCTCATTTGAAAAGTCACCTCTCATGAGCGATCTCTTTTGGTGCTTCCCAAGAGTAACTGCTTAATACAGGTTTGACTGTATGCATGAATAAATTGTTTGAAAAGTTGCCAAGTTCCAACTGCAATTCCAAAAAATTTTGTAATTTTAACTGTAATAGTAATTATCAATTTGTAAGAAGTATAACATTAACCATGTATCTGTCTTATCAAAATGACTTACTGATTGTAACATTCATGGAAGTGGCTTCTGATGTCAGATTTCCTGTTTGACTTGTAATACTGATCTCATAGCTCTCTCCAGAAATCAGACTATTAAGGGTAACAGAAGATGTAGAATTCCCACCATCTACAGTTATCACACCCTCACTATCACTATGGTAACCAGTGTAGGTCAACTCAAACTCCTCAATAAAGGTTGATGATTTGTTGTATGACCATGTTAATGTGACAGAATCTGTCAAGATGTCTGAGGTAGTGACACCTTCTGGAGACAGAGGTACTAAAAGTATTAAAAAAATGTCTATTATATTATGTGAAGTTTTGATGACTGTGTAATCTTTCTGATTATAAAACATCTTGTGAAAACTTAAAACGTTTTTTGATTCCTCTTTTATGTACAAAGGGAAGTAACTCTTTAACTTTCTGTTGTGAATAAAGACAGAAAATTTCCTTGTAGGTACAAAACTATTTAAAATTTTATAACTCAAAAGACATTGTCTAAAAATATAAAAAAATAATTCAATGCTTAGTGAATTTAATTTAATTCATAACACTTTACCAATTGACATCATGAAACTTACAAACTTCAGCAAAGACATTTCTGGGTAAACTCATTTCTCCAATACTGACTGCAAATACTATAAACTCGTATCTCTCCCCTGCAAACATTCCTTTCAAGGTCGTCTGGAAGTCACGTGTGAATGTCTGTCTCCAAAAGGATGAGAGATTTAATATTGGCCTATACCAGATATAGAAACTGTCCTGGGTACTGTTGATGTTTGGTTTCCATGACAACATGACATCTTGACCAGAAACTGCTGCCTTCAATTCAGTTACTGAATTGGGCTCTAGAATAAAATATATATACACTTATATACCGTTCCTTATTCATTACAAAATTACAAAATAAATGATTATGCCTGAACATGTTGAAGAACTACAAATCCACTAGAATGGCATTATTTGTTAAATTATTTGCAAAGTGGCATCAAAGGTCAATAAATCAAACCACAAAATAATTACCTATTCCTGTAATTGTCAAATGATAAGGAAAATCTAATTCAAAGTTAATAAACAGACTGTGAAGGGAAAAAAAACATAAACATTTGATGCAGAAAAATGAACATTTACAGTATTTCATTGTGGGATCAACTGTGTTGTATTTAATTGACAATAGCATGTTATCTTATATTTTTACACAATATAAAATTTACACATTAACTTACTTGTGGTTTTGTTCATAGTAATCCAGGAACTGTAACTCTTCAGGTCATTAAACTCTTGTACAGCTCTTATATGAACTGTATACAGGGATCCAGCTGTTAGCCTCATGATATGTGATTGGTAACTTGTTTTGTCATGAAGAGCTAGCACCATAGGTAATGTGATATTTTCTGAATCATTATTCTCTTCATACACAATCTGAAAAGACAAATATTCTCCTATATCATTCAAACACAGTATGCAAACAAATACACTATATAGCAGTGATAAATGTACATCCAAAGTAGGAAATTTCTGCAAGTAGTTTATTTTCCCCAATTGCGCAATTTACATTAAATCGCAAAAATATCCCCTGGCATAAGTTTGATCTTTTAGGGGGATCAGAAGCAGATTGAAGAAAAACATAAAAATAAAACTTCTCAAAAAGTTTTGATCCTTGAAATCCTTGAATTATGACTAAAAATAAACAATTGTACAGTGCAATATTTTTTCTAGCATTGCAATATACAGCCAAATCTGCCTTAACAGTCACCTCATTTCAGCAGTCACCTGCCTCTAACAATGTCATATCTAGACCCTCTTAAAATTTCCCTGTATATTATTTAACTCCTTTCAGCAGTCAACTGTCTTACATGGTCAGTGATCACCTAACTTTCACACAAAATCGTCATTTCAACTTTTAACAATGGTCATTTTAATGTTTTTAACTACCAATATAACCATGACAAAAAATATATGTGTTCAGTATCAAAGTCAGAATGACAATCAGAACCTGTTTGCAACAAAGATCAGGCAATAGGAGGTGAATTCCTTGTGTTCCACTCCTTTCAGTTTTCATTGAAACAGTATTCCAGACTCATTTTTCCACGAATATTAACATATTTTGAATGTTTTCTTCAGCAGCACCAGAATCTGCCATTTCTTATTTCTCTGCTCACAAGATCGATAACTCTACCAATTGAAAACACCAAAATATTTTGCAGCATGCGATGTGGGAATCCGAATTTTTTGGAACCTTTTTTAAAAGGTCATCTCTCTTTAGCAGTCACTTTTGATTCATCCCATGAGTGACTGCTTAATACAGGTTTGACTGTATGTCTAGTTTTTCCTCATGTCCCCTCATGATAGTCAATCACTTGACTTAATGCCATTAATTCTTAGTCAATTTTCAAAGATATGTATAGTTTCACCCTAAATATATTGCTAACATCTTTTATTTCCAAAAATATTAAACAGTCCAAAGGACAGCGTTAAAACAAGGTTTCACTGTAGTATCACAGCTGCTGAAAATGTTAATTTTTGAATAACACATACTTGCTATATCATTAAAATGCTTAAATTTACAATAATGTTTCAAAATCAAGTTATTTTTTTCCCAAACCAAAGTGCCATACATACTTCAAAATGATGTTGTTGTAATGGTTTTGTAATGGACCAATCAATAAGTAGGCTGCTGGAATCATGTGTTGTAATGTTAATATCATCTACTGGTAAAGGATCTGTAATTATAATATTAATAAATAAATAGTATATTTAATCGATCAGTGCCTTAACTGGCAAGTTGATTTCTGACAAGGGTATGATTGCATTACAATAACTCAGCATGCCTTGACTTTTAAGTTCATTTATCTTTGGAAAATCTAGATAAAAGCAAACATATACTTTCAACATATGTCTTGGACGCATTGCAATATAGTTTTGGCTGAAGTTCCTTTTTTAAATATTCTATACATTATAAAAATAAGGAGATGTGTTATGATTGCCAATGAGACAACTATCCACCATAGTTCAAATGAAGTGGATATAAGCAATTATAGCTATAGGCAACAGTATGGCCTTCAACAATGAGAAAAACCCATACTGTATAGTCGACTATAAAAGGTCCCGACATGAAAAATATGAAACGATTCAATTGAGAAAACTAGCAGCCTAATTTATAACAAAACAATTAAAGAAAAAACATATATGACAGACATGAACCAACGACAACCTTTTATGGATATGTATAAATAATTGTCTAATTTACATATATTGTATATTAAATTTGTTTTCATAACTATTTTCATGTTCTATTATTTTTATTTTAAAGTCTTGTTCATTGTAAAGTTTTAACATGTAAATAAAAAAAAGTGTTGTTTTGAGAAATCTAACTTGCTGACTAACACTATATTTTTAGATAGTTATTTCACCACAGAAACATTGCCTTGTATAAATAGAGAATATCATATGGCTTTTTCAATATCACATCTGTATCAACCCGAGACATCAATATAATCCCAAGAGCTCTGCTCGAGGGATTATATTGGTTGAGGGTTGATACGGTGTGTGATATTGAAAAAGCCATATCATATACACTTTATTATATACCTCAAGTAGATGTTTTTCACATGACATGACGTAATACAGATTAGGGGTTTGATAAATCCTTTGTAACAGTGACTGATATTGATGGAGTGACGTCATACAGATCAAAGGTGTGATAAAGCCTTTGCAACAGTGACTGATATCGATATCATCACGGATGGCTGATACAGCACGATTGCCGTTGACCGTATTACACATACAATTCATCTGTATTTACTACTAAGTATATAATAAATGTAAATATAAACCTACTTGTAATGGCTGTCCTATCAGATTTATCAATAACAGTTGTCCCTGATATAAGATAGATAGACAAATTATATACTGTTCCTGGATGTAGTCCTGTAAAACTATGAAACAATATCCCAGCTGATCTGTAATACAATATTAACAAATATAATTTTTATTGAAATTATGTAATAAATACAAGGAGTAAATCAGCTCAAACAGCCAAAAATATAGTACGTGATATAACATACTCTATATTCTATAGATGGTATGGGTTTTGCTCATTGTTAAAGGCTGTTATGTGATCTATAGTTGCTAACTTCTATGTCATTTGGTCTCTGGTGGAAATTTGTCTCATTGGCAATCATAATACGTCTTCTTATTTTTATATCTATCTCAACCAATTTCAGTTTCCTTTAGTTCATCATAAGATAATAACTCTGTTATCAAAATAGAAATTTTTTTTTCATTCTTGGTAGATTGTTTAATTTAATAATAAAATTCAATAATTTAATTGTGGATGTAACACGTCTTCTGATTGGCTGAACATGTTTTGTCTATCAGCTCATAGACATAATTTTGTGATGTGACCATGACGTCATCAATGGTTTTTTCATGATTTACTCCTTAAAAATGGAATTTAGAATTAAATTATAATGAATGACTGTAACATTTTTTCTGTCTATTCGAAATAACCTAAAAGATGTGGTGCACACTTTTAAATACACTTATACGTGGGTTATTCAGTGAGTACCACATTTTTTATGTTATTTCTTCATAGACAGAAAAAATATTACAGTCATTCCTTAAATAAATTAAAATTTTCCTTTTTCTTCATTTTTTTATAACTTTAAGCTCCACTACATCTGATGTCTACAATGTATTGTTAAATGTGATATGATTAAGCTAGACATACTCTTGTATAGAAAGAGGTGTGGTACTATCTGGTGGATTAATGGCCAGTTTAAATGTCTGGAAGGTCAAGTTCTCTGGCCGTGACCAAGATATATTTATATAGTCTTCTGTTACATGGTCAACAAATAATTCTGATACTGACGTTGAATCTGTAATATACAAGAAATTTCAAATGGTTAAATTCAATAAAATCAGTCAATATAATAACAGTTTTATCCTTAGTTTGAATTTAACAGTTTCTCTACATTTGTATGTTCGGTAGAAATGAATCCAATAAAACAGATATTTTTGTTCAAAAATTTATCTTAATTTAATTTTTTTTCCAATCTACTCAAATAACTTCATGTTTACATAACTCATTAACACATATTTATTTAATAGGTTTGATTTTGATTTTTCTAACAATGTTTTATCATGAACATCATATTGTGAAATCAGTTGAATGGCATATTCGCTCAATTTGTAAATGTGATATTGTATTGAAGAAAATGTTCCTGTTTTGTTTTCCAGATAGGATATCCTTTGTTAATGTTTGAAAATTATAATGCCTTTACCCACTTCATTTAACCATTCTGATCTGGGAAAAAACATGACAAATCATCAATATAGATCCATGTTAACCCCTAATCATCTCACACACCTGCATAATATCCAAAATTTAGGATAGGAACACCTCATTATATACTAATTCTGAACCTACTTGTAGTTGCTGTAATCTTGAGGGGATCACTGGTAACTCCACCACTCCTACAAACAATAGATATCTCATAGGTCTCTCCTGGGTGGAGCTGTGTGAAGCTGTATGATGTCCCCTGTAAGGTGATTGGAGCTATTGGTAGGGTGGTGTTCGTAGTGCCATTTATACCAAGGGAGAGGATACTGACTGTGTAATTCTCAACTTCTCCTACTGTAGGCTTGAACCAGTCTAAATGTATCTCACGACCTCCAATTACAGTGTGTAAGATCTTAGATGGAGGATTTGGTTCTGTAAAAACACAAAAATTTTACCATGTTTACATAACACTGTAAACTTGAAAAATTAAAAGAATACAAAATAATTCACTTTAGGTTGCACTTCTGTAAAGATAGACAATGCAATTGCCCATAGGAACTTCTTTTATGACTGAAACTGTGCCATTTTTACTATGATGTTAAGTAAAAAATCATATCCTAAAATGGAAAGTTCATATGCACTACTATTTTTTTCAAAGGTCAAAACATAGGGCTGTGCGGCATATTTTCAACATTTATATGCTCCAAACTTCTAACAGTTTAAACTTATATTTAAATTCTGTACTCCCCCTCACTTCACTTTGGGTCTTCCTCAGAATTCAATTTGGGTGCTATCCATGTGTATTTATAATGGTAGAATTTCCAAGTTATGTCTCTATAAGTTGAAACATAGAGATCATATCTGGGAACCAGTACATAAACAAAACAAAATTAAAATATCTATGAATATTATATATCTCCCCAAAAGAGGCGTGGTTTGTGAAACAACTGTATTTACAAAGTGTAACCTTTATGATCATTTCTTCCAAATTTTTATTTCGATCATGATTTTTTCATACTATAGATTATATTTTTAATACTATAGATTATATTTTTAACTACCTTGGAGACAGCATTTTTCATAGAAATACATATATATATATATATATTTCCTATAACAACTTAAGTAGAATTGCCCGTGCAGCAGGCCTAATCAAGTAAAAATGAAAGTTATAACTTTTAACATTGTACTAACTATCACTCTTATTGATACAGTACCTACAAAGCACTAAATAAAGTGCCTTAAATAGCATTGATGGAATCGATTCTATACCACAAGATGTGTAATTTGACAATTAGTATCTCTTAATCAAATTAAACAATAACAGAGCATCTAGCACTGTTCTATTGATTACTTACTGGTATATTGTTCCACCGTCTTTGTACTATTTTTCTTCTGTCCTTTTACTGCTGTGACTGTGATGGAGTATTTCCTCCCTGGGACCAGAGAATCAAATTTTACAGTTCGTTCATCTGTATTGGTCTGGAGACTGTAATTTTAAATATATACATCTCAAAATCATAAGTTTTGAATAAAAATATTTGCACTAAGATGACTCTCAAAAGTATTTTAAAAATAGTCCATATTCTGTAAAAGGTATTAAAAAGAAAAACATAAACAGTTTCTGTCCATACTGTCCTCTGCAATACATTCACACTATTGTTGAAAAAATAACAGCTAGAAAATGTATGTGTGTAAAATCTGGCCTTCAGCTGTTGTAACAAATATATGATGAATTAACAGGTTACCAAAGGTCAACATCTAATGTGTAAACAATGTTACAGTTAACAATGAATTACTGTGTTAACATGGAGATTCTAAAATTATTCATGTTCAAATATCATTAATTCTATAGTGGGTGGTACCATGAAAACTTCTAACAAATTGGTAATGAAAACAAATTTATTTATCAAATGTTTTCTTTTAACTCCTTTAAAAAGTGTTTTCAAATTTACTTACAAAGGTGAATGAGTCTGAGATTCTTTAGGGGAAATTTCAACTTCATAATAATCCAGCTGTCCACTCTCCACAGGTCCCCAGGATATCTTCAGTGACGTAGTTAGGATATCCTTGGTTAAAATATCTATATCTCCTGGCATGCTAGGATCTAAATAGAAAAATATTACTACAAAAAATACTTTAAAGCACAGCATGGAGATGTTAATAAAAGAATTATTTCTCATATCAAAAGTTGATATATATATATTTCAATTATTTCATTTATTAGAGTCAACACTGAGGACACTCCTTGTATTGTGCATCATTCTTACATCCAATTAAAAATATGAATCTTGCATAACTAAAATGGGAAAAATATTACTGAACTGAAATTAGAACTTATAAACATGTTATTTAGAAAGACATAAAGCTTTTTCATAAATGCTTGTTGTAAATGAATTTCAAATTTTTTTGTTAAATGTGTTTCTAAAGTCTGAAAAGTTAATATCTAATTTTTGTGCAATTTTCATGAAGTACAAATAACATTTAATAATAGTAACATATTATTTCCCCTGTCCTTTTTGTCCTATACTTCTTGTTACATTTTTGGGGCTTAAATCTAATTTTTCCCGTGCTGATAAATGGTGGGCGAGAACAAAACCAGCAACTCTTTAAAGAAAAGTCTTACAATAAAGTATAGAGCGATTCAGGAACATTTCAGTAGACCTCACTGTGAAATTTTTTAACAAAAAGTGTGACAGGGTTATTACCTTTATAACTTTTATAATTTTTCTGTTGGTTTATTTCTTTTCATTTTTAGCTGAAATCTAGGTTGTAAAACTTAATATACAAAGCAGAGCCTTACACAAAAAGGAAACATCTGCTCAATAAAGTGCTGTGCCTGAACATACAATTAGTGATTTTAATGAGTCTGTTTTTTATATCTGCAGACTTGTAAATAAGAAGGGGTCAATTTTTCTCAAAATTAGTGTTAAAATTGATTTTTCCTTCAAATAATACCCCTAGATATCACCCTTATTATGAAGCAATAAATATTATGTTTATACAGTTCCCCTACTTTAGTATAGAGCTACCATTTATAAGTTTATGCATGGACTTACTTGTATAGAAAATCCTACTAAATTGGTTCCTGCTTTCTTCCCATTCAGATACAGTACCAACAGAGACATTATACTCTATCCCTGCTGACAGATTCCCTATAGTAAATGTTGTGTGACTTGCTGGATAAGTATAGTTTCTAAAGTAGAAGTAACCATCATCAATACTGACAGAGTAATTCACAAATACTGAAGTAAATGGTGGAGTTACTGACAACTCAAGTGAAGATGTAGTACTACTATTCTCTAGTAGACTGGTTACAGTCTCTGGCTCTGAAATGTAAAATGATAATATGTAAATATTAATGTATGTACCTATCTGATGATAGTAAATATGTAAAGTGTAATGTGTCTACTATAATTCCTTACCTTATTCCATGGTGTCAATCTGATAATTTTGTGGTAAAAATTACTTGTATAATTTAGTGGTAAAAATACTTGTATAATTTTGTGGTAAAAATTACTTGTATAATTTAGTGGTAAAAATACTTGTATAATTTTGTGGTAAAAATTATTTGTGTGACTTGGATAATTTGTTAATAACAAATCACTTAAATAATTTGGAGATACAAATGATATGTATAATTTGGTAATAACAAACTACTTGGATAATTTGTTGGTCCACATGACTTGGATAATTTGTTAATAACAAATCACTTAAATGAGTTGGAGATACAAATGATATGTATAATTTGGTAATAACAAACTACTTGGATAATTTGTTAGTCCACATGACTTGGATAATTTGTTGGTCCACATGACTTGGATAATTTGTTGGTCCACATGACTTGGATAATTTGTTGGTCCACATGACTTGGATAATTTGTTGGTCCACATGACTTGGATAATTTGTTGGTCCACATGACTTGGATAATTTGTTGGTCCACATGACTTGGATAATTTGTTGGTCCACATGACTTGGATAATTTGAAGGTACAAATACTTGAAGTTGTAGAATGAACAGCTACATGTATATCATAGTGAAGTAGTCGAAGTAGTGAAAGTGTGGTCATTTGACTTATTGGTAGAATGAACAGCTACATGTATATCATAGTGAAGTAGTAGAAGTGGTGAAAGTGTGGTCATTTGACTTATTGGTAGAAGGAACATGAAACTTACTGGTAGAATGGAAAGCTATATCAGGATCACTTCTCCTGTTGTTTTGTACAGAGTATGCCCTGATCTCTATAGGTGTGCCAGGAATAACACCCCTGACCTCGGTCACACAGGTGGACAATAACATAGTACAGGTCAGATTCATCTCACCCTCATAATTAAATGTGTTGTTATAAGTAGCTGATAAGTATACATGGTCCTGAAATAAAAAACACATCTTAAAACACTTTATCAATACATGTACTGAAAATGTAGTCTTTAAACTAGATAAGCATAAACATGATAATTACTCAACTAATAACAGGAGGCAGGATATAGACAATTTTAGTTTTGTCAGTGTAAGTTCACAAGGTAATAGTCTAAAGGAAACCACGTCATTTGATCATGACAAATTATTCAACATCGATATAAATTTTAAGTGATAAGTAAGCAAATTTTAATTTCGAAGTCTTTAGTTTTATTGCACAATCCATACACTCTTGTTGATCATACTGCAACCATGTATCTAAAGACCCTGTAATGTAGTTAGAAGATTTTATCTACTTTTGCTGTAAGCAGATATCATATTATGCACTGGAGCCGAACCTAGGGAGACCCTCATGGGTAGTCAAGGTTGTTAAAACCCCCCTTAGAACAGGTAGTATATTATGCACTGTACATGACTTTTACTGCTTTTTTTTCTACTTAAATGCTTAACAACAGGTCTTAGATATTTAGATTTTATATATCCAGATGGGCTTTGAAAATATCAATGGATGACACAGGAAGCTAAGCATGATAGTAGATAAACCATCAGGATCTCTGGATAATGTATTTTCAAGATTAAACATCCAACTAGCTTTGTCTGTTTGCTTTTGTCAGATCTGATATGACTGAACCTGGAAAATGTCAGCATAAAGTCAGGAATCCAGTTGTTTGTCTTTCAGCTTTTCAAGATTTTAAAGACATCAAATACCCTTGTAAATTCAATATCATTTTTTTATTACTGGTTATACAATGTCTTGCAGCTTTTCATGATCTTATAGACATAAACCACCCTTGTAAATTCAATAACTTTTGTTCTTATAAACTAATTATACAGTGATGTGATACATAAGAAATAAAAACACGCCAATCAATATGACATAAAATATTTTAATTATGGTTTCCACCCAGGAATATATAATATCTACCTGATGAAAATAAAATCAATACGGGAATATTCATGATTATTATTTCTAGTTTATTATATACCTTTGTATCTTCTTTCATTACAAAAGCTACTACTAATAAGGTATTGGCTGATAGTATCATATATATTGTTAATCTGGGATATAATATAACACTTATCAAATCCTAATATTTCAGGCTGTCTTGCTAGAATTATCTTCAATCTAGATAATGAAGTTTTCATTCAGCATCAATAAAAGAACAGAGTTCCAATGTCCCTTGCATTGCACATATTTCATCTATCCAAGGGCATTAACTAAAAGAAACTTTTTTTGTTCTTTAAACCTTTTAACAAATATCTTCGAGAAATGAAGGCTTGAGAGCAAATACAATAAATTTGACAAAAATCTGGCAAAACTTGTACACATGAGAGCGCTTACAATGCAATTTTCCATATAGTTAATATTTCCAAGGGGCATAACTCTTTAAAAAATATTAAGATCAGCACTGATTTTGGAACTTGGCTGAGACGTTGCTGATATAAATCTCTGATACAAGTTTCATAAAAATCTGGCAAGAATTGTACATGTGAGAGCGCTAACAAGACCGGACGGATGCCAGTATTTCTATGTCTCCCACAATGCCTCCCGGGGGGACAATAAAACACTGGACAAAAATATTATTGTAAGGAGTCACCAGAATGACTGCCTGACCCATCAACTAATCAAAGATTTTTGCTGAATGCTACAAATATACCCATGTCTGAAGTTTTTTCTGACTAACCTGTTGGCTATTAAAGTCTTCTTTCCATGCTAACATCAGTGTATAATTATCTATAGCCATAATCCAATGTATCGTTGGTGGTAATGGTCCTACAAAAATCAAAACATGTATATATATCACTTGAGTATTCTGTAATTCAGGAGCCTGTCACTCAATGGTTGTCTTTTGATGCTGAATATCATATTTATTTTTTTGTTTTCTGTTTTGTAAAAAAAATCCAGGCCATTAGTTTCCTTGTCCGAATTGTTTTACATTCCTCATATCAGGTCTTTCATAGCTTGCTATGCAGTATGGGTTTTGCTCATTGTTGAAGGCCGTACAATGACCTATAGTTGCTACCTCCTACATTATTTGGTCTCTGGTGGGGAGTTGTCTTATTGGCAACATACCACATCTTCTTATCCTTTTATTGGACCATATATCATATATATGATATACAAGTAAATATAGACATTCATAGCAAAAAAACAGCACCTTCATTGCTATTGATCATCACAAAGTTTTGGTGAGTACAAAGAAACATCACCTTCATTGCTATTGATCATCACAAAGTTTTGGTGAGTACAAAGAAACAGCACCTTCATTGCTATTGTTCATCACAAAGTTCTGGTGAGTACAAAGAAACAGCATCTTCACTGATATTGATCATCAATGTTCTAGTGAGTACAAAGAAACAGCACATTCATTGCTATTGATCATCAACATTCTGGTGAGTAAAAAGAAACAGCACCTTCATTGCTATTGATCATCAACGTTCTGGTGAGTACAAAGAAACATAACCTTTAATGCAACTGGATCATCACAAAGTTCTGGTGAGTACAAAAAACATCCCCTTCATTGATATTGATCATCACAAAGTTCTGGTGAGTACAAAGAAATATTACCTTCATTGCAATTGATCATCACAAAGTTCTGGTGAGTACAAAAAAAAAAATACATCCCCTTCATTGATATTGATCATCACAAAGTTCTGGTGAGTACAAAAGCTTTCCACAACACATGCTTTCAATGTAACAAAAAATTGTGCTCTACTGAACTTATTCGTAATAGGATATTACTTTTTTAAGTATGTTCATACTTGTATGGTTAAGGATCCTGAATGAATTAGATTGTTGAATAGATATTTCATCTTCACGAAGTTTATTTGTGAAAAATACCCATACAGAAAAAGGTTAAATTTCCTGAGTCACTATTTAACCCTCACTTTTATAATCTATGTTCCTGGTGGTACCTTTACTTGTATTATCAATTATCCTTGCGGTACCCTTACTTGTATTATCAATGATCCTGGTGGTACCCTTACTTGTATTATCTATGATCCTGGCGGTACCCTTACTTGTATTATCTATGATCCTGGCAGTACCCTTACTTGTATTATCAATGATCCTGGTGGTACCTTTACTTGTATTATCTATGATCCTGGCGGTACCCTTACTTGTATTATCTATGATCCTGGCGGTACCCTTACTTGTATTATCTATGATCCTGGCGGTACCCTTACTTGTATTATCAATGATCCTGGCGGTACCCTTACTTGTATTATCTATGATCCTGGCGGTACCCTTACTTGTATTATCAATGATCCTGGCGGTACCCTTACTTGTATTATCAATGATCCTGGCGGTACCCTTACTTGTATTATCTATGATCCTGGCGGTACCCTTACTTGTATTATCTATGATCCTGGCGGTACCCTTACTTGTATTATCAATGATCCTGGTGGTACCTTTACTTGTATTATCTATGATCCTGGCGGTACCCTTACTTGTATTATCAATGATCCTGGCGGTACCCTTACTTGTATTATCTATGATCCTGGCGGTACCCTTACTTGTATTATCTATGATCCTGGCGGTACCCTTACTTGTATTATCAATGATCCTGGCGGTACCCTTACTTGTATTATCAATTATCCTGGTGGTACCCTAACTTGTATTCTCAATGATCCTGGCGGTACCCTTGCTTGTATTCTCAATGATCCTGGCAGTACCCTTACTTGTATTATCAATGATCCTGGGGATACCCTTACTTGTATTATCAAGATCCTAGCGGTACCCTTACTTGTATTATCAATGATCCTGGTGGTACCCTTACTTGTATTCTCAATGATCCTGGCGGTACCCTTACTTGTATTATCAATTATCCTGGGGGTACCCTTACTTGTATTATCAATGATCTTGGTGGTACCCTTACTTGTATTATCTATGATCCTGGCGGTACCCTTACTTGTATTATCAATGATCCTTGGGATACCCTTACTTGTATTATCAAGATCTGGCGGTACCCTTACTTGTATTATCAATGATCCTGGCAGTACCATTACTGTATACACCATTACTTATACTATCTACAGCTATACTGTACAAGGCTCCTGGATATAATCCTGTCAAGTTATGATACTCCACTGTTATTGGGTCGGATTTATACAGTTCTGAGTTATTGTTTGTTTCAGTAACCGTAACTCTGTATGAATCCTGAGTACTTCTACTGTTTCCCTGCCAAGTAAGGTATAGGTAATCAGTACCAGCATCTGAGACAACAAGAGAGGACGGTGGAAGAGGTTCTGAAAAAATAAAAGTCGGAAAACTGTTCAATTTTCATATACATGATTTATAAAAATATTTGTTTCTATACTAACATTCACCGTAATTAATGTTGTACATTGTATGTTCATCATGATGTAATAATAATTTAGATAGCATGAGCATTTCAATATGTGAACATAGAGAGCATTGAAGGAAGATAAGTATATATAATAAACAAAGTTTTAAAATACATCTACTGACAGCACTGAAAAAGTTATTCTTTCCATATGACATGCATAATATACTGGTTCCTTTGTCCTTTCTCACAGAGGTCATTCTCTCCATATGACATGTATAATATACTGGTTCCTTTGTCCTTTCTCAAAGAGGCCATTCTCTCCATATGACATGTACAATATACTGGTTCCTTTGTCCTTTCTCAAAGAGGCCATTTTCTCCATATGACATGTATAATATACTGGCTCCTTTGTCCTTTCTCACAGAGATCATTCCCTCCATATGACATGTATAATATACTGGTTCCTTTGTCCTTTCTCACAGAGGCCATTCTCTCCATATGACATGTATAATATACTGGTTCCTTTGTCCTTTCTCACAGAGGCCATTCTCTCCATATGACATGTATAATATACTGGTTCCTTTGCCCTTTCTCACAGAGGCCATTCTCTCCATATGACATGTATAATATACTGGTTCCTTTGTCCTTTCTCACAGAGATCATTCCCTCCATATGACATGTATAATATACTGGTTCCTTTGTCCTTTCTCACAGAGGCCATTCTCTCCATATGACATGTATAATATACTGGTTCCTTTGTCCTTTCTCACAGAGGTCATTCTCTCCATATGACATGTATAATATACTGGTTCCTTTGCCCTTTCTCACAGAGATCATTCCCTCCATATGACATGTATAATATACTGGTTCCTTTGTCCTTTCTCACAGAGGCCATTCTCTCCATATGACATGTATAATATACTGGTTCCTTTGTCCTTTCTCACAGAGATCATTCCCTCCATATGACATGTATAATATACTGGTTCCTTTGTCCTTTCTCACAAAGGCCATTCCCTCCATATGACATTTATAATATACTGGTTCCTTAGTCCTTTCTCACAGAGGTCATTCCCTCCATATGACATGTATAATATACTGGTTCCTTAGTCCTTTCTCACAGAGGCCATTCTCTCCATATGACATGTATAATACACTGGTTCCTTTGCCCTTTCTCACAGAGGCCATTCTCTCCATATGACATGTATAATATACTGGTTCCTTTGTCCTTTCTCACAGAGATCATTCCCTCCATATGACATGTATAATATACTGGTTCCTTTGTCCTTTCTCACAGAGGCCATTCTCTCCATATGACATGTATAATATACTGGTTCCTTTGTCCTTTCTCACAGAGGCCATTCTCTCCATATGACATGTATAATATACTGGTTCCTTTGTCCTTTCTCACAGAGGCCATTCTCTCCATATGACATGTATAATATACTGGTTCCTTTGTCCTTTCTCACAGAGGCCATTCTCTCCATATGACATGTATAATATACTGGTTCCTTTGCCCTTTCTCACAGAGGCCATTCTCTCCATATGACATGTATAATATACTGGTTCCTTTGTCCTTTCTCACAGAGATCATTCCCTCCATATGACATGTATAATATACTGGTTCCTTTGTCCTTTCTCACAGAGGCCATTCCCTCCATATGACATGTATAATATACTGGTTCCTTTGTCCTTTCTCACAGAGGCCATTCTCTCCATATGACATGTATAATATACTGGTTCCTTTGTCCTTTCTCACAGAGGCCATTCTCTCCATATGACATGTATAATATACTGGTTCCTTTGTCCTTTCTCACAGAGGCCATTCTCTCCATATGACATGTATAATATACTGGTTCCTTTGTCCTTTCTCACAGAGGCCATTCTCTCCATATGACATGTATAATATACTGGTTCCTTTGTCCTTTCTCACAGAGGCCATTCTCTCCATATGACATGTATAATATACTGGTTCCTTTGTCCTTTCTCACAGAGGCCATTCTCTCCATATGACATGTATAATATACTGGTTCCTTTGTCCTTTCTCACAGAGGCCATTCTCTCCATATGACATGTATAATATACTGGTTCCTTTGTCCTTTGAGGCCATTCTCTCCATATGACATGTATAATATACTGGTTCCTTTGTCCTTTCTCACAGAGGCCATTCTCTCCATATGACATGTATAATATACTGGTTCCTTTGTCCTTTCTCACAGAGATCATTCCCTCCATATGACATGTATAATATACTGGTTCCTTTGTCCGTTCTCACAGAGGCCATTCTCTCCATATGACATGTATAATATACTGGTTCCTTTGTCCTTTCTCACAGAGGCCATTCTCTCCATATGACATGTATAATATACTGGTTCCTTTGTCCTTTCTCACAGAGGCCATTCTCTCCATATGACATGTATAATATACTGGTTCCTTTGTCCTTTCTCACAGATGTTATTCTCTCCATATGACATGTATAATATACTGGTTCCTTTGTCCTTTCTCACAGAGGCCATTCTCTCCATATGACATGTATAATATACTGGTTCCTTTGTCCTTTCTCACAGAAGCCATTCTCTCCATATGACATGTATAATATACTGGTTCCTTTGTCCTTTCTCACAGAGGCCATTCTCTCCATATGACATGTATAATATACTGGTTCCTTTGTCCTTTCTCACAGAGGCCATTCTCTCCATATGACATGTATAATATACTGGTTCCTTTGTCCTTTCTCACAGAGGCCATTCTCTCCATATGACATGTATAATATACTGGTTCCTTTGCCCTTTCTCACAGAGGCCATTCTCTCCATATGACATGTATAATATACTGGTTCCTTTGCCCTTTCTCACAGAGATCATTCCCTCCATATGACATGTATAATATACTGGTTCCTTTGTCCTTTCTCACAGAGGCCATTCTCTCCATATGACATGTATAATATACTGGTTCCTTAGTCCTTTCTCACAGAGATCATTCCCTCCATATGACATGTATAATATACTGGTTCCTTTGTCCTTTCTCACAAAGGCCATTCCCTCCATATGACATTTATAATATACTGGTTCCTTAGTCCTTTCTCACAGAGGTCATTCCCTCCATATGACATGTATAATATACTGGTTCCTTTGTCCTTTCTCACAGAGGCCATTCTCTCCATATGACATGTATAATACACTGGTTCCTTTGTCCTTTCTCACAGAGGCCATTCTCTCCATATGACATGTATAATATACTGGTTCCTTTTTCCTTTCTCACAGAGGCCATTCTCTCCATATGACATGTATAATATACTGGTTCCTTTGTCCTTTCTCACAGAGGCCATTCTCTCCATATGACATGTATAATATACTGGTTCCTTTGTCCTTTCTCACAGAGGCCATTCTCTCCATATGACATGTATAATATACTGGTTCCTTTGTCCTTTCTCACAGAGGCCATTCTCTCCATATGACATGTATAATATACTGGTTCCTTTGTCCTTTCTCACAGAGGCCATTCTCTCCATATGACATGTATAATATACTGGTTCCTTTGTCCTTTCTCACAGAGGCCATTCTCTCCATATGACATGTATAATATACTGGTTCCTTTGTCCTTTCTCACAGAGGCCATTCTCTCCATATGACATGTATAATATACTGGTTCCTTTGTCCTTTCTCACAGAGGCCATTCTCTCCATATGACATGTATAATATACTGGTTCCTTTGTCCTTTCTCACAGAGGCCATTCTCTCCATATGACATGTATAATATACTGGTTCCTTTGTCCTTTCTCACAGAGGCCATTCTCTCCATATGACATGTATAATATACTGGTTCCTTTGTCCTTTCTCACAGATGCCATTCTCTCCATATGACATGTATAATATACTGGTTCCTTTGTCCTTTCTCACAGAGGCCATTCTCTCCATATGACATGTATAATATACTGGTTCCTTTGTCCTTTCTCACAGAGGCCATTCTCTCCATATGACATGTATAATATACTGGTTCCTTTGTCCTTTCTCACAGAGGCCATTCTCTCCATATGACATGTATAATATACTGGTTCCTTTGTCCTTTCTCACAGAGGCCATTCTCTCCATATGACATGTATAATATACTGGTTCCTTTGTCCTTTCTCACAGAGGCCATTCTCTCCATATGACATGTATAATATACTGGTTCCTTTGCCCTTTCTCACAGAGGCCATTCTCTCCATATGACATGTATAATATACTGGTTCCTTTGCCCTTTCTCACAGAGATCATTCCCTCCATATGACATGTATAATATACTGGTTCCTTTGTCCTTTCTCACAGAGGCCATTCTCTCCATATGACATGTATAATATACTGGTTCCTTAGTCCTTTCTCACAGAGATCATTCCCTCCATATGACATGTATAATATACTGGTTCCTTTGTCCTTTCTCACAAAGGCCATTCCCTCCATATGACATTTATAATATACTGGTTCCTTAGTCCTTTCTCACAGAGGTCATTCCCTCCATATGACATGTATAATATACTGGTTCCTTTGTCCTTTCTCACAGAGGTCATTCCCTCCATATGACATGTATAATACACTGGTTCCTTTGTCCTTTCTCACAGAGGCCATTCTCTCCATATGACATGTATAATATACTGGTTCCTTTGTCCTTTCTCACAGAGGCCATTCTCTCCATATGACATGTATAATATACTGGTTCCTTTGTCCTTTCTCACAGAGGCCATTCTCTCCATATGACATGTATAATATACTGGTTCCTTTGTCCTTTCTCACAGAGGCCATTCTCTCCATATGACATGTATAATATACTGGTTCCTTTGTCCTTTCTCACAGAGGCCATTCTCTCCATATGACATGTATAATATACTGGTTCCTTTGTCCTTTCTCACAGAGATCATTCCCTCCATATGACATGTATAATATACTGGTTCCTTTGTCCTTTCTCACAAAGGCCATTCCCTCCATATGACATTTATAATATACTGGTTCCTTAGTCCTTTCTCACAGAGGCCATTCCCTCCATATGACATGTATAATATACTGGTTCCTTAGTCCTTTCTCACAGAGGCCATTCTCTCCATATGACATGTATAATACACTGGTTCCTTTGCCCTTTCTCACAGAGGCCATTCTCTCCATATGACATGTATAATATACTGGTTCCTTTGTCCTTTCTCACAGAGATCATTCCCTCCATATGACATGTATAATATACTGGTTCCTTTGTCCTTTCTCACAGAGGCCATTCCCTCCATATGACATGTATAATATACTGGTTCCTTTGTCCTTTCTCACAGAGGCCATTCTCTCCATATGACATGTATAATATACTGGTTCCTTTGTCCTTTCTCACAGAGGCCATTCTCTCCATATGACATGTATAATATACTGGTTCCTTTGTCCTTTGAGGCCATTCTCTCCATTTGACATGTATAATATACTGGTTCCTTTGTTCTTTCTCACAGAGGCCATTCTCTCCATATGACATGTATAATATACTGGTTCCTTTGTCCTTTCTCACAGAGATCATTCCCTCCATATGACATGTATAATATACTGGTTCCTTTGTCCTTTCTCACAGAGGCCATTCTCTCCATATGACATGTATAATATACTGGTTCCTTTGTCCTTTCTCACAGAGGCCATTCTCTCCATATGACATGTATAATATACTGGTTCCTTTGTCCTTTCTCACAGATGCCATTCTCTCCATATGACATGTATAATATACTGGTTCCTTTGTCCTTTCTCACAGAGGCCATTCTCTCCATATGACATGTATAATATACTGGTTCCTTTGTCCTTTCTCACAGAGGCCATTCTCTCCATATGACATGTATAATATACTGGTTCCTTTGTCCTTTCTCACAGAGGCCATTCTCTCCATATGACATGTATAATATACTGGTTCCTTTGTCCTTTCTCACAGAGGCCATTCTCTCCATATGACATGTATAATATACTGGTTCCTTTGTCCTTTCTCACAGAGGCCATTCTCTCCATATGACATGTATAATATACTGGTTCCTTTGTCCTTTCTCACAGAGGCCATTCTCTCCATATGACATGTATAATATACTGGTTCCTTTGCCCTTTCTCACAGAGGCCATTCTCTCCATATGACATGTATAATATACTGGTTCCTTTGCCCTTTCTCACAGAGATCATTCCCTCCATATGACATGTATAATATACTGGTTCCTTTGTCCTTTCTCACAGAGGCCATTCTCTCCATATGACATGTATAATATACTGGTTCCTTTGTCCTTTCTCACAAAGGCCATTCCCTCCATATGACATGTATAATATACTGGTTCCTTAGTCCTTTCTCACAGAGGTCATTCCCTCCATATGACATGTATAATATACTGGTTCCTTTGTCCTTTCTCACAGAGGCCATTCTCTCCATATGACATGTATAATACACTGGTTCCTTTGTCCTTTCTCACAGAGGCCATTCTCTCCATATGACATGTATAATATACTGGTTCCTTTTTCCTTTCTCACAGAGGCCATTCTCTCCATATGACATGTATAATATACTGGTTCCTTTGTCCTTTCTCACAGAGGCCATTCTCTCCATATGACATGTATAATATACTGGTTCCTTTGTCCTTTGTCACAGAGGCCATTCTCTCCATATGACATGTATAATATACTGGTTCCTTTGTCCTTTCTCACAGAGGCCATTCTCTCCATATGACATGTATAATATACTGGTTCCTTTGTCCTTTCTCACAGAGGCCATTCTCTCCATATGACATGTATAATATACTGGTTCCTTTGTCCTTTCTCACAGAGGCCATTCTCTCCATATGACATGTATAATATACTGGTTCCTTTGTCCTTTCTCACAGAGGCCATTCTCTCCATATGACATGTATAATATACTGGTTCCTTTGTCCTTTCTCACAGAGGCCATTCTCTCCATATGACATGTATAATATACTGGTTCCTTTGTCCTTTCTCACAGAGATCATTCCCTCCATATGACATGTATAATATACTGGTTCCTTTGTCCTTTCTCACAGAGGCCATTCTCTCCATATGACATGTATAATATACTGGTTCCTTTGTCCTTTCTCACAGAGGCCATTCTCTCCATATGACATGTATAATATACTGGTTCCTTTGTCCTTTCTCACAGAGGCCATTCTCTCCATATGACATGTATAATATACTGGTTCCTTTGTCCTTTCTCACAGAGGCCATTCTCTCCATATGACATGTATAATATACTGGTTCCTTTGTCCTTTCTCACAGAGGCCATTCTCTCCATATGACATGTATAATATACTGGTTCCTTTGTCCTTTCTCACAGAGGCCATTCTCTCCATATGACATGTATAATATACTGGTTCCTTTGTCCTTTCTCACAGAGGCCATTCTCTCCATATGACATGTATAATATACTGGTTCCTTTGTCCTTTCTCACAGAGATCATTCTCTCCATATGACATGTATAATATACTGGTTCCTTTGTCCTTTCTCACAGAGGTCATTCCCTCCATATGACATGTATAATATACTGGTTCCTTTGTCCTTTCTCACAGAGGTCATTCTCTCCATATGACATGTATAATATACTGGTTCCTTTGTCCTTTCTCACAGAGGCCATTCTCTCCATATGACATGTATAATATACTGGTTCCTTTGTCCTTTCTCACAGAGGCCATTCTCTCCATATGACATGTATAATATACTGGTTCCTTTGTCCTTTCTCACAGAGGCCATTCTCTCCATATGACATGTATAATATACTGGTTCCTTTGTCCTTTCTCACAGAGGCCATTCTCTCCATATGACATGTATAATATACTGGTTCCTTTGTCCTTTCTCACAGTGCTTAAGTATACTGGTATGATTCAACATGTTCAAATGATTTATTTCAATAATGTGCTTCAAAATCCAGTTCATAATATTATGCAATTGTTATAAACATTGATAAAGCTAATGTTGCAATTTGCCTAAGCATATTTATTTTTTATGGTTTTGGCCAAATTTGTTTCTTGTTTCTCCAATGTTTTGGTTATGAGTGAACTAGATGAAAGATGGTGTATTATATGCTGAGACACCATGTCATATAATTTTTATTAATAATTCTTATATAAAAAAAAAAAATTTAACCTGTTTTGTCTAAAAATTCTAAATAGGCTGCTGATTAAAATATTGCAGATGTTTACACTATCAAATTCAGATCAGTTTTAAAAAAGTTACCATATGCTAAAGAAAATTGACCAATTTTATCTATAATTTTTCAAATCAGTTTTACATCACAAAAATCAAAATAATAATTAATTGTTACAGAATAAAAGAAACGTACTTGTAGTTCCTGTAGATTTGAAAACTTCCGTGCCATCCTTATTCAGCTGTAACGTATATATAACACCTGGACTTAAATTATCTAACTGATATGTAGCAATATTATCTGTGGTCAGGGTATAGTCTATTTCCTGGTTTGTTATGTTGCCAGGGATACCGTAACCTAGGGTATAGTTTACACCTTCCTTTGTCTCCTCCCATGATATGTCCAGGTAAGTACTTCCTGAGGAGACATTAACTTTGATGATCTCTGATGAAATATGGCTTATCTGAAAAAGATATAAATATATCCAAATTACAATTTGTCAATTTTATCTTATAAACAAGATAAATTAGGAAACCATAAGAATGGGTCTTAATGAAATATGTGACAGTTTCATAAGTTACATTGGTAAACTGAGAAATGTTTAAGACCACTAAACATTTCGACTTATTCACGACAAAAGTTTTTTTTTTAAATCATAGACATTATTTATAGATATATATCACTGTAAACTGTTTCCAGTAAGTTCATTGCAGAAGTTTAACCATCAAATCTCAAGATGGAGATGAGCAGTAAAAAAGCTGCATCCATATATATATATACATGATTTATGTTCATTTCATAGAAATTGTCTAAGGCAAAATTAAGCTTAGATGGTTTTGGTTGGTCAATTTTCCCAGTTGAAATTCTTCAAAATTTTTATGTAGTTTTCTACCCCAAATTTTTAAAGTCTTAAAATTGCACATGGGGGTTCAAAGTACATTTTGTAATTGATGAAAACGTAAGTATGTATTGAAATCAGAATGCTATATTAAGATTTGGTACTTCCTTAACGTAACTTTTTTTCTTGTGGATTTCCAATTTCTAAATGGCAGCCTGATATATTGCTGAAGGTTATCTTTTACTTTGCTTCATGGGGCAGGTCCACTCAACTCCAATCTTAACTGACTAGGATTGTCAGTTTTCCTACTGAAAGTCTGTGGTTCGCTCCGACTTCCTCCACCAATAAAAACTGACCACCATGAAATAGCACAATAATGTTGAAAGTGGTGTTAAACACCAATCAATCAATCAATCTTTTATTTTGATAAATTTGGTTTGTCATACAGGTTCTGTACATGTACTGTTTCAATTTTGTCTGTCATTATAAGTTCTGCATGTACATGTACTATTACAATTTTGTCTGACACCAATATTCACTAAAACTATTTTCTGTCAAAAATTGGTTCATGTGTATATTCAGAAACTATGCATTTATTATTAATTGTCCATGTTGCCTGCACATGTCCAAATAACATCTTTGATGTCAGGATTTTTATACTTAAAGGTTTGGTGTTAACAGACTATTCTGTGGAATGTCAGAAATATTTTAGGTGTATTTTTTAAGAGAAACATGTTGTAGTCTTTATAATAGTCACTGTGATTGATATGTTAGTTTTATGAACTTTCATTGGGTCAAGGACAATGCTATTTTTTTTCTCATGGAACAGGAAGATATATATCTGAAAATGAGTTAACAAAACTGGAAAAACCACTCTGAATGAAAAGAAACTTGTTACAAACATGAATTTATATTGCCAAATTTTTACTTGGAAAGAGCAACTCAAATGGTTTCAGGCATTGGTCAGTCTTTAGTTTCCTATAGAGTGTTTTGTGGACTGTTGTGGGTCATTTTCTTTTGACCATAAGGTGTTGATTGTATGTCTGTAGATCATGGTTTTAGATTGCCCCCTTGATGTCTCCCCCCTTTTTATTTTTACAATGTTTTTATCAGTAAATGTTTTGATAAAATTTATAAGATGTTCATTTCAATGCATATACGAATTAAGCCTGTAAGGTGAATGAACACATAAAAATTTGCTCAAAAATAAAAAAGGTTATACCAATTTCAGGAAGATTGTTAATATGATGATTGTGATATAATCATATTTGTACTAATTAACTATAAAAAGATTTTTTACATAAATCTCAAATTATCTGTCATGAAATGTACATAAATAGTCCGTCCACCATGAAAGTCTGACCCCAACAATTAACCACTAATTAAGTGACACACTTACTAATAAAGGTAATAATATCCATAATATATACATTCTTTTACACTTATCTATAAAATAACTTAGTGTGCATTAGATCAAACTAACAGAAAATGGTCGTACATCATTACGTCAAAAAGATGCCTCTAGGATATAAACAAGGAACATGGAGTCATGATTTAACTAATCATTCAATTCATCATAAATTTTCATTACACAGTATATGGTGCATCAGTGTTTAAAAAATTATTTGATACAACTGTCAAAACACTTTAAGTTCAACTTAATATGTCAATGATTTGTATCATAAACAGAAGCTTTGTGAACGTTTTTGCATAAATGCATATGTTAAAACATTTGTAGGTCTTTGTACTTGTTCAAAACATACATGTACGGCATATGTATCAAACTTAGATTTACTGATAACAAAATATCTGAGAGGTCAATTTTGCTACAGCTAACTGTCCTATAATCTGATAAGTGGTCAGTTATCTATTTAGTTAATGCCTTTACTGGAGATGTAGTTGTATTTGTAAACCTGAGAGTTAATTAATTTGACAGGTACAAATTCACATACATGTAAAACTTAAATGAAGAAAACTGAAGGTAAAAACAAAATACAATCACTGAGTGCAGGATACCTTTGTTAGTCACAATAAAAATTAAAAAGTAAACATCAGTTCGTTGATGGTTTTCTGTAACTAAAGAAGAAAAACTGACCGAATTACAAAAAAAAGGTTCCAAACAAGTTTGGAAGTATCCATATTAAAATGACCAAAATGATATTGCACACAAATGCAAATAATTATAAATACAAATAAACTATGAAAAGAGATTATCTTGTATGTCTGATCAAATCATAACTGATACTGTTGCCAATTCACAGCAGGTGAAAGTGTCTGATTCTTGCTTAACAGGGTTGGCAAAAACCCGGGTTTTATGAGTATTGCCCAGCCTAGTGGGAAATACTGGGAAAACCCGGATTTTACTGGGTAATACTGGGCAATTCTGGGTAATATGAAATACTGGCATGAATTTCCAAGAGGATTCATTGATTAATCACAAATGCAATACATTAAAGTCGAAGAATTCAATTTGTTTTTTTTAATAAATTTAACTAATATTAAGAATTAACAATTCTATGTAAGGAAAATTACTTTTCAAACATTTCTGTTCATTACTAAAAATGTTTACTAAGTTTTAGGATATGTTTATGTACATCACTAATTAATAAGTAATTATTCAGATTATAACACAGATTTGTTTATATAACAATAATCAGCCTTTTGATTTCTATAAATGTTCATGGCCTGGTGTTCCCTTAGGGTGTATTGCCCAGTATTACCCATTTCTAGGAGTATTGCCCAGCCCGGGAAATCCCGGGTTTTCCCAACCGGGTAATACTTTGCCAACCCTGTCTTGCTATGCATTTTTTTCTCTCAGATAAGACAAAAACGGTAGCAATAATGATTACGATGTGTCAACAGAAATTTCTTGATTTTAAAATAATTTTCTTCCAGTCAAAGTTAGATGATGTACATGTAGGTGCATTTCATACATAATTATATATAAATTAATATGTCTACTGTACATATATATACTGGTTTTGTTGTTTTTTTGTCAATTAATAGAAAAATATCCCAATGACAGCCAGCCTTAAGTAAATATTTATTTCTCTTTTGAACTCTTCTTTTAATACTAGCTTAAACTTGAATTAATAACCTATTAGCAAAAACCGTTTCGCACATGCCCAAAAATAGTCAGATATTATTATACTTTACATGTCATGTAATTTTATCAAATTTCTATTTCCTTTTACCCTCATTAACTCTATAATCTGAAAATTGTCTGCCTGTTTTTAACAAGATTTTAGATTTTATCTATCCAATCTAAAGGGTGCAAATCCTGCATCAACAAACATTTTCCGTTACCATACCAGGTAGGATATGTATGTGTTATTTTCATGTAAATGATGACCATAAACATGATGTTCTTCAGGTAAAATGAATTTCAGGAAGTTTAAGAATTACAAAACAAACATGTCAATATAATCACATTACACTATCATATATAACATGTATAATAAATTAAATTAATTTGCTTTATTTAATTTTTCTATGACACTTTTAACATGTTTAGAAGAATTTCATTACTTATAATTACTACAAAAGTGTCTACCATGGCTATTGATTAATCTTTGAAACATACAAGGTACATTTAAGTGCCAGTCTTTGTAAGAATCAGGCAATTTTGAAAAAAATCAAAACATGGCCGAAAAAAACCCACCGACCTAACCATCCTATTTTGAAGTTACCCTCATCCTGAGTTAGAAATGGTAGGTCTTTCGTTTCTGCGTGTCTGGTAATTCGAGAAATCTCTAGATAAATTTTGGTTAGAATGATAGCAAATTACAGAGTTAGCTCCCCTTAATTTTTCATTTCTAGAGCATTTCAACCAAATTATATCTTGAATTACCAGAACAGGACAAGGAAACGAATGCTATATTCATGCACCATTATACATTTTGAACAAAAATTAATGTCAACCTGAGTGGGTTTTTGTTTGTCATGTTTTCACCACTGCCTGATTCTTAGGCAGATTGGCACTTAAGATTTACATCTGAAAGAAACCAAAAAGGTGCAATATGATTGCAAATGAAACTAATACCTAAAAAGAGACCAAATAATGAATATGTAAGCTACTGAAGGTCACAGTACAGCCTTCAACAATGATCAAAACCTATACCATATAGTCAGCTATCATACTAAGGACACAACATGATTAAATGCAAAACAATTCAAACAAGAAAACCTACAACCTGATCAATGACAAAATGATAAATATAAAACAATTACATGTATGGCATATTTGATAATAAGGTAAGACTTGATTTTGACCCCTCCCCCTTTATCATAAGTTTATGCATGTTAATGCTCTAATTCAAAAAAGAAAGAGGTTGTTTCCACACTATTGTACTTTCTGTCCAAATATATTTAAATTTCACCAATTAATGAGCTTTAGTAACTATATCGTTCTTGAGAAACTGTGTAGATTTATAAAAATTATAAATGTGAGGGTCACTCCTCCTGGTTAGTTTGTAATTATATGTTTTTGTCTGTATTGTTCGCATGTGCATGTTAATGAGAAATAAAATTCATTAAATACTTATACTCTCAACAGACAAATGATTGATGGTTTCCAAAAGGAAGTCTTTCTGCTTATCAATATGGCTTCAAATAGTAAAACTTATCAGAAAATTAAATTGAACATTCCAGATGTCAGCATACATCAGTACTATTTTTTCATTTAAAGATAACACAAGAAATCTTATAGAGCCTATTTGGTAGAAATGCATACAGTATTATATGTGTCACTATAACATTTTAAAATACTTTCACTATCTATTATTTAAGTCTGGTTTGTTTCAGTTTCAAATCTTTCATGAGTGGATATAACAAGAAAATAATTACTTAATAGTTCAGTAACAACTAATTACAATGTCTGATCAATCCTCAATCACATTATATAGTATACCAGTACTGTTATCAGTTTTTAAACCTCAGATAGACCAATTTATTTTTTACCACAATTACAGACTAATGTAAATATCTGCATTAAGAAAGTAATCATGTACGCTGTAATTAAGCAACACCCAAAATTTAAAAAAAATAAGGTTTAACTGATAAAATTCCACTGTAGACTGAGACAAATTCTGCATTGCTCACTAAACATAATGTTAAACAAACAGAAACATTGTATATGTAATTATATATTTTGATATTTTGTATGAACGGAAGGTGAAGGATTTTAATCTAAGGGAATTTATGACCATTGTCATTTTACAGATCAAAGCAAAAGTTTCAAGCATTGTTGACCACACGTCAATCAAACTTCATGTATCATTTTATCCACATAATCCTCTTATGTATGTTGAGTGAAAATTGTATTATAACCTCAACTGAAAAGAACTTCTAAAAATTTCGTAATTTCAGTGCAATACAAAATTATAACCAGGACTCACATACATGTACATGTATACTACTTCAGAATTATATGACTTCTCTTTTTAAAACTGATAGGGAGAAGTGGTTAGACTTAAAAGAGAAGTGCTTGTTTGCTTGCAATGCTATAATGTTTTGTGTTTACAATGCTGTATCCATGGTATCGTGCCAATTGCATCCTGTTTATTTAATTATTTTTCATGCTCTTGTATTTGTTCAAATCAATGTTAATTTATGTCTGAGAATACCTTTACAGTAGGAGTTTTGTCAGTTTATGTCTTAAATTGTCATATACAGACTAATAGCTACACAATTATAATTATCCACTTGTCTGGAAGTACCAATGTAGTATCTCAATGTATCTAACACTGAAAATAGTCTTCACGATAAACTTCTGAATCTACAGGCCTGAAGCTTAATTTTATAAAAAGTTTAGTTCGATTCTATTGTGTTGTAGAGATGATTTTCACAGGCCTGACAGCATTTTTACAAGCGTGGGCCGGTTGTTGAGCATGAAGACTGCTGAGTGAATATATGTAAAGAGAAAATTATTAAAAAAGAAAAAGAAATGTCCATTTATCATGTTTACGATGTTCATCACTGAGGATTCTGTTTATGATGTACATGACTGAGGATTCTGTTTATGATGTTCATCACTAATGATTCTGTTTATGATGTACATGACTGAGGATTCTGTTTATGATGTACATGACTGAGGATTCTGTTTATGATGTACATGACTGAGGATTCTGTTTATGATGTTCATCACTGAGGATTCTGTTTATGATGTTTAATGTTTCTCATTAAAAAAATGTATAAATTTAACAAATTATGGAACTTAAATCAATAAATTGAAACAATGCATTGTATTAAAAATATATGCTTTGTAAAAGAGAGGAGAAAGATACCAAATGGACATACAAACTCATAAGTCGAAAATAAACTGACAAAGCCATGGCTAAAAATGAGAAAGACTAACAGACAAAAATAGCACAGCGACACAAAACACAACATAGAAAACTAAAAGACTGAGCAACACGAAACCCCACCAAATACTGGGGGTGATCTCAGGTGCTCTGGAAGGGTAAGCAGATCCTGCTCCACATGTGTAATTTAGTGGATCAAACCAAATGTCTATAATAAATCAAACATTAATAATTTGGGAATTTTAATCACATTCCAATGAAGTAAGAAATCTATTTTGCCTTAATGATTTTTATGTTCTTGTACAAAATGTATGCTCAAATAACGAGCGGTGGAAGTGATCGAAAAGACTTTCATTTGTTTGCATATAGAGTTGTTCCATTGAAATAAAATATGAAGTCTACAAAGTCAATGCTTTCACATCATTTCTTTAGAAATAAATTGTCTATATCTTCTTTCTTTATTGCTTACTAATTTCAAAAATTAATGTTCCATAAACTTGGAAAAAATGGAAAATATCTGATGACAAAAGTTACTGCTGTGATTGATGAACACCCAGACTACTAGATATTGATTAACATGATTAAGGCTGCCAGGAAAAGCGAAGTGACAGACAGGAAAGCTACTTCTTTGCCCTACATGTAGTCTCCCAGTAGTTTTAGCCCTGATAACCACTGATGTAATTTTACTGTAATGACTGATTTTGCAAATTAACATCACAAAAGTAGACATTCACAGGTTTTGTCACTTGTGAAAGTGATGAATCATAAATTTTTTAAATTACAACAGTTTACAACAAAGGATATTTAATGTGTTATACATGTATGTGTTTATCACACCTATAATAATTACATATCAAGTATTTGATTATTAATACTGACATTTCATTTGTTTATGTTGTCTGTCCTTAGAATAAAAAGGGAGAAGCTGGCCAAAAAGCATGAAAAGATAAACACGTCCACAAAACACTGCACAGAAAATTGATTGAGCCATACAATTCACAGTTCTACAAAATATATATTAGTTACAAACAAACCAAAAAAAGAGGGAAACCCATCTACAGCTGATCTAGGGGTATTAAATCATACATGAGGGTTTGATGGGGTCCTTCATTTCTTTATTCTTTTAATATTTAAAATCATTTTTCTCTGTTTTTTATTTTTTGCCCATTATTCTCTATTCCTTATATTTCAGCACCCCATTGTTTTCTATTCTTCATTTTTTTGCCTATTTCTCTCCATTCTTTATTTTTTCATGTTTTTAGCCATGATTTATTCTGCACTTTTTGTCCTGTATTCTCTATCAAGACCCTCATTCATACAATATGTATTACATAATTGAAAGATCAATTTGAAAATATGAAGAATAATGTTATTGTTATAATTCGTAACAGTAGGACGTGTGAAGAGTTGTTGATTTCTTACCTGCAATAATACTAATAAACTCCATGTCAACATTCTACACCTTTATTCTCAGTTTATGTTCTCGAATGAATTTCATCTGATCTGAACTTCAACTATTCGATTTGAAGGGCTGTAACTTCCTTTAATTCTAAGTAAGTGCAGAATATGAATCACATGCTAAAGTCATGATCTTCTTACAAAAGTTCTTTTACAAAATTTGTATCCACCTCTTTTTGTTGACATCTGACCTCACCCACCTGTATACCGGAAGTTCAAGTAAATCGTTTCCGTTTACTTCAGGAATCGATTTTAAATTATCCATTATTGGAGCACCGCAGAAATGGGACACTTTTACTATTCATCACTACTTATTCAAGGAGACCCACATAGAGTTTTGTATTATATTGCTTATAACTAAGAGAACTATAGCTTGATATAATATATAATAGTTTGATAGTATAATATTGCTCTATATAGGCAATAAAGGCAACAGTAGTATACCGCTGTTCATAAATCGATTAAAGTGAAAACAAGTAATAGCTTTTCTAAAAATCTTGCCGTTTTATAGCTTATTATGTTGTAAAATTATTTTTTAATTTGTAGTATCATCCATTCAAAATATTACTCTGCATATAAATTGTATTGGGGTAAAGAAAAGTAGAACATTGGAAAGGCCAATAAAGTTTTTTAAAGAGTTCTTTTTGTGCGTGGCAATTTTAACCCGATGAAAGAGCCTAATTTCTAAATCACTTGCGTTTTTGCCGGTACTGATTTCGGTAAACTATCTTATAAGGAAAGTCTCAGCTGTCATATATTAGAGATTTACAAAACGTTATGCTGAAGCTTAAAATGTAAAGTTAAGACAGCGTGATGTTGAATTGAGTCATCAAAATGCTAACTCTAAATTACAATATGCTAAGTTGAATCTGCGCAATGTTGACTTGCAATGACAAGTGCTTTAGTCGTGATAGTATAATGATAAGTCACGATGTTGTGATGATATGCCAAACACACGTAACGTTGGGTTTAAAGTACATGATGTGAAGTTGACGTTGCATGATGTTAGCTTGCAGAAGGATACTGCTCAGTCATCCACTTCGATAGCTGTACGTGTGATAACAAATAAAATGAATAGCTAAAATGTATGGTGCTGACTTGTTATTAATAAATGTTGAGCTGAGATAGTACGATGTTATATCATTGTGATATTACGATAGGTCTATAATGCAATCTGTTGATTTAAAACACCATGATGCACAGTTGAAAGTACATGATGTTAAGTTAAGATAACACGATGCTACACCACTATATTGAAACGAAAGGTTTACCATACAATTGGTTGACTTAAAACAACACGATGCAACGTCTTAAGCTAATATGCTCACTTGAAACTAAACGACGAACAGTTGAAATTTTGTAATGTTAAGCTACGATAGCACGATGTTATATCATTATAATGTCACAATAGGCTTAGTTTACAATTTGCTCATTTAAAACTACACAACGTATAGTTGAAGGTACGTGATGTTAAGCTAAGATAGCACGTTGTTATATCATTTGAATGTCACGATAGGCTTACCACACGATATGCTCATTTAAAACTACACGACGTACAGTTGAAAGTACGTGATGTTGAGCTATGATAGCACTATCTTATATCATAATAATATCACGATAGGCTTTCCATACAATATGCCCATTTAAAACTACACGACGTACAATTGAAAGTACGTGTTGTTCAGCTAAGATAGCACGATGTTATATCATTATGACGTCACGAGAGGGTTATCTTACAATGTGTTGACTTGAAACTTCACGATGTAAATTTGAAGTAGTTTGGTCGTTGAATTGAAACAGTATAGAAACATAACGTAAAGTCAAAATAAAACAATGATAGGATGACATATATTTGTGCAGAATTGAAGATTTTTGGTGTTTACTTCTAATATAGTACAAAGTTTAGATCGTTTTATGTTAAATTGAAAGACAATAATGATGCGTCAACATAACAGAATTATGTGAATTGAAACTGCAATTATATGGAAAAGAGCGAGGGACAAATCCTCAGGATTTTTTTCATTTGCAAGTTATAATAAATATTAATGAAATTTAACTCAAGTGGCAAAATGATATACAAACAACGTTTTCCATAAATTCATAAAGCAAAATAATTACTCATCGCTATACAGTACACTTGAATACAGTTTTGCATATTTTACATGTTTTGTTAAGATTTTATGTAAATTTTTGGATGAAAAAAACTAAATCTGTTAGTATTTTTTTGATGAACCATATTTAAGAATATATCTATCTATGTTGTTTCTTAATATATACAACATAATAATGTGGCAATCATGGCATATTTCCGTGTATCTGTTCCAAGTCAGGAACCTCGTCGGTAATTGTCATAACTTAATGTTTTTCGTTTTTTTTTAAGAATTCGATTTTAATGACAATTCTTTGATGAATTCTGTTTAATGTGTTACCCTCACTACGTCTTTTGATTTTTTTCGTCGTTGGATTGCTTTCCCAGTTATGCATCTCCCACATTCCCGTTTATTCATACAGCGTTTACATAATAAGCTTTGTAACTGTTAATTTTTGTAAAGATTAAACGACTTTTTATAATAATCCTCATGTGATTAGTTTTTTTTTCTCTCGTATAAATTCCTTTTACACGATAAAAAAAATATCACTGACAGGAAATACAAAGTCTTATGCCTTAATCTGTGTTATCTCCTCTAACAAAATCCAAATGCTCTGGGAAATGATCTACTAAAATCAAAGCTTATAACACCCCATCCGTGTCAGATTTATCAGATGATTGTAATTTGATACCGCCCCCTTTTCTCCGAAATAAAGGAAAATAATATGGACTTAATCTAAAAGATAAAACCCAACAGATCTGATAAATGATACGCTAAAGAATCGAACTGTAAAAGAATGTGACCTCTCCCCCCTCCAAAAAAAAAAGCCCAAAACAAAATAATGAAATTATTGATTGAATAATAATCTATAAAATTCGAATGTATCCATATGGATGAATTGATAGGTGGAAGAATCCTACTGCATGGGGCCAACCCAAACAAAAAAGTATGGTAGATTCTGTTGTATACTTTTCGCTCATACATGAAGTCTATGAAACCTAATGAAATTTGACCTAGAGCCTCGTCTAAATCGTCAACTTTCTAAAAAATAATACATCATTTACAGCAGTGCCAACCATTTTTCCAGCACCAAGTAAGATAGTGCCCAAGTTTATGTATATATCCACTCGGAGAATATTTTATTTTTCTAAATTGGTAAAGTCATTAATGGACAATGACCCCTATAACTTATAATAAGAAGCCAATTAATGATTTCCGTCACTTATTTTCTTGGTTCTTTGCAGCTTCTCTCTATCTATATGTGTTTTCAAAGAAAAAGAAAAAAAATCAAAAATCTGTAAAAATTGTTAAAGTGCATGAATTATTTTGGTATTGCTTTGATTAATTTGTAGATATGTCTTTTTTATGTCAACAGTTTCTCTCTCTCTCTCTCTCTCTCTCTCTCTCTCTCTCTCTCATAGTTTTCATGAGTGTGGTCTAAATTAAAATCGGTAGATTTTTTTTTAATTATTTGCCAAAATCTAGTTTATTCTTTTTTGAAAAACATAATAAAAAGTTTGGGCCATAGAGCATTTTGCAAGCTACAGGTTATGCAGTATTGTCAGATTTTGTATAAACTATACATGGAAAACTCAATTTTAGAAAACAAAAATAAAAATTGGGATCACGAGACTCGTTTTCTGTCTATAAAACAAAATAGATAAAATCCCTACACATTCCATCATTAGAGACAAAATATGCCAAAGGGATTTCAAATTTATAACATACTGACAATGCCATGGCAAAAAATAAAAAAAATAAAAAACGAAAAAAAAAAAAAGTTATCCGAGTTATCTCCCCTTATATGGAAAAGTTGAAAAAAAATATGCAAAAAACGTTCTGCATTCAAAAACAAATAGTCGTTTTAATCAGATAAATCACATAATTTTCTTCATCAAGATGAAAAGTACTACATATGAATAACATTCCTCTCTCAAAAGTTGTATATTTTTTTTAGATCTAGACCGATTGTGTTGTGCTATATGAGAATCTAAGATGGCGGAAGACACCCGATCTACCCTAAGGCCAATATCTCTAGTGAGGAGGAAATTTACAATTTCGGTCACGTCGAGTTACTTGTAGATCCCTTTGTTAATAAGGGTTTCTGTTTTCATTTATCTATCTATTATATTGTTCAGGGAAGGGGAGAATCGAAAAAAAAACTAAAAAAAAATACACAAAAATGGATAAAAGAAGGCGAAAGATACAAAAGGGATAGTAAAACTCTTAACCAAACTGACAATGTCATGACAAAAACTCATCAGCCGAAATAAACGAGAGAAAAAAGATCAAAAGCCAAACAACAGTATATTAAGCGCAACATAGAAAACCAGAGACTGAGCAACACGAAACCCTCAAAAAAGGGGTGATCTCAGGTGCTCCAGAAGGGTAAGCAGATCCTGTTTCATATGTGGCACCCGTCACTTGGCGATTTTGCAAATAAAGAAGGAATGTGTTATAATTTTCGAGGAACTCCCAAAAAGACATGAATTACAGGGTTGTCAAATCGATAAACGTGCTTAAAATAGGCTCCTTTTCATAAAAAAGAATTGATGATAATGTATTTGTGTTTAGTGTACAGTGGCAAATATTACATGCATATACGAGAATATGTAAGTGTGATATGAATATGAATAAATCTTGGCTCTGTACAAGACATATTTTGCTTGCTTAGCCGAATTATTAACAAACTAGTTGACAAACCGTCTCTTACAATCTATGGAAATCCAAATAGCATCGGTTTTGATTAAGTCCAAATTTTTTGGTTTTATTTCGGGGAAAAGGGGTGCGTTTTACATGCATATCAGGACGAGAACATGTTAGTGTGATATGAATATGAATAAACCCTGCTTTGCTACAAGACATACTTTACTTGCCTAGCCGAATTTTCAACGAACTAGTAGACAAACTGTCTCTGACAGTCTATGGAAATCTTAATCGCATCGCTTTTGATTAAGTCCAGATTCTTTTGTTTTATTTCGCGGAAAAGGGGAGTGGTAAATACAAATCCTCTGATAACTCTTACATAGATGTGATTTTATATGAGTAAAATTTGACCCTCACAGTCATAAGTCTTATAAAGCCACAATATTATGTTGTATATAT